TTAAAATTACATCTCATTCACTCACTAATATCTAATTACCTCTGTCTTTCTCTTACTTTGAGGGCCTTGAATATATATATATATAAATATTTCTATGGTGTTTATATATATAGATTAGAGAGGTGTGGAAGAATTATTTTACTGTGTGGTGATACACAATAATCCAATAGAAGCAAGGATAAAGGAAAGGAAAGGGAAATTGGAGGAATTAAAAGCCTCCCTCTATATTTATCCCTCCATCTTCTTCTTTAACTTTCTCATTTTGGGTTCCTGCAAAAGGGAAAATATATAGCAGCAACAACAAACACCCTTCTCCACTTTCTTTTCTTTTCTTTTGCTCTTCATCTTGTTGCTGTTTCTTGGTAATTTGATTGGCTGAGAGATCAGATATGGCAAGCTGCATAGATATTGCACCTGAACAACTCTGCTACATCCCTTGCAACTTTTGCAATATTGTTCTTGCGGTAATTAGCTAGATCTCTTTTGCAATCTAACAATTTTCTTTTGCTGATGTTTGTAATTTGGTTTTTTTGGTTTTGGATTCAGTACTCAGAGGTCTCCATCGTTTGGACTTTCTTTATTTTCTTTTGGGGTTGTTCTTGATCTTGTGTAGTCAAGGAATAAAGTCACACACACACACCTGAAAATGCCTCTTCAAGCCATTGATGATGAGAGAGAGAGAGAAATTTGTGTTTTTTTGTTTGACAAATTGAAATTTGGGAAAATTTGGGATTTGGGGTTGGAGTTTCAATGTTGGAAAAACAAGCATTATGATGAAGACAACTCCTCCTTTGGTTTCCTCAAACCTGCTGCACCAAAAACCAAGCCTTTTTTTTTTCTTTCTTGGCACTGCCCCTATCACACCCCTCAAAACCCAGTTGATTTGGCTCAATTATATTGAAGATCTCACTTCATACCCAAAAAAAAACGCCAATTTCTTTACCCAAAAAAAAAACTTCAATAACCATACAAAACCCCCTACATACACATTCATTCTTCTAGGTTTTCAGCATTACATTATTTTCACCCGAAATAAACTGAGTTAAATGTATCGTAATCTATCAGTTTTAATTTTTGAATTGAGTAATAATTAATTCATGGATGATGACGATGACGAACAGGTGAGTGTTCCATGCAGTAGCTTGTTTGATATTGTGACAGTCCGATGTGGGCACTGCACCAATTTGTGGTCCGTGAATATGGCTGCCGCGTTTCAGTCACTTTCCTGGCAAGATGTTCAGGTAACCCTAAAATCTCTCTTCCCCCTCTAATTCTTAGGGAGTTCTCTCTCTCTCTTTTTCTTAGGGTTAGGGCTAAATTTTGCATCTTTTTTGAGAAAATCGATGACCCAGAATCTGTAATCTTCAAATAGATTTGAGAATTTCAAAGCACTGAAAAAAAATACCCTAGCTTTGCTGGCTAGCTGTAGCCTATAGGTATCCATTCCAGCCGCCATAAATAGCCCTAATCCATGCCCTAGTCATCTTTTTTCTCCTTGAGAAGTGTTATCTCTTTTTAGTTCGGGATAAATTTAATCATTTATAGAATATTAAGGTGGGTAAATTTTGTTTTGCTTTTAAGGTTTTTTGGGCTTTTAGTTTTATTATTGCTTTATTTTTTCTGGGGGGAGAGAGCTAGAGCTAGGTAGGTTTTGTCATTTACTGTTCCAGCAAAGAGAGAAAAAAAAAAGAGGAAAAAAAAACCTTTTTTTTTTTTTTAGATCTTGAAAGTCTGGTTTTGACTTATTTTGAGATGGAACTGCCAATCTAGGTATTATATGCTTTATTTTCTAACTGATTCAGTCATTTCAATACTGGTATATTTCCTTTTGAGTTAACTTATGAAACATCATTTCAAAAACTCTTTCCCCTCTCCCCTTTTCTTCCTTATAATACTTGTCATGGCAAGACATGTCACAGCCACCACATTAATGAAAATAATCTTACATTATTCTTCTTTTAGCTCAAATAAACTCTGATGTGTGTTATTAAGAACTCGAAGAGATAGAAGAAACTCTAACACCATGTTTGAAACTATTTGGACCCGTTTGGGTAAATTAAGTTTGTGAATACCACTTTTACTTGGTGTATTTCTTTGTTTTCTTAAAAGTATTTTCAAACTCTAAAATTAAGTTTATAAACTAAAACTAGTATAATTCAACGATAATTGATATATATTTCCAATCAAGAGGTTGTAAGTTCTCGCATATTGTACATAAAAAAAATTAAGCTTATAAATGTTACTTCTACTTATGTGAAGTTTATATATCTTATAAACTTCGTTAGGTCTCTTAATTTTTTCAACGTGAGATCCTAATTAACCTAAGAAAACGAGCACAATTTTTTAAAAACGAAATTGTTATGATCAGTGTTATAAGGTAAAATTTTGACGATAAAATATTTGGCAGGTTCCAAACTACAATCTGTACAGTTGTAGCGGACCAGATTTTCAAGGTGATTTTGGTTCCTCCTCCAAATGTAACAACAATAAGATGGAAATTCGAGCTCCCACCACAATTCCAGCAGAGGAGAGAGTTGTGAACCGACGTCAGTATTGTTTCACTTTCCTTTTCTTCTTTTTTTTTTTTTCACTTTGCTCTGATAAAATCTTCAAAATCTTTTAAAGAAAAGCAAAAAAAGAAGAAATTTCATGAGCTGTTGTTGTCTTTTTTCAGCTCCCGAGAAGAGGCAGAGAGTACCTTCTGCATATAATCAGTTCATAAAGTGAGTAATCAAAGCCTTCACAAACTGCTTTAATTTCTCTTAACATTTGAATTTCATTCATGTTTGTATGTTGTTTCAGAGAGGAAATCCAAAGGATCAAGGCAAATAATCCTGAGATTAGCCATAGGGAAGCTTTCAGTACAGCTGCCAAAAACGTAAGCTCAAATTAATTAGTTCATAATCTAGATCATATGAATTTAATTAATTAATTTTGTTGATAAATTTTGCAACTTTTTGATTTAGTGGGCACACTTCCCTCGTATTCACTTTGGCCTAATGTTGGAAACCAACAATAATCAAGTGAAGCTAGATGATGTAAGTATATACTTTATATTAATTATTCAGACTCTTAATTAATTATATTTTGTTGTTTAATTAATCTTTCTTGTTAGGGTTTGTCAAGGGCTGCACTATTAAACAAATGAATTGGATGATGAACGAAAGTTGCTGCCTTTTTCCCACCTCTTAGTTCTGTGACTTTTCAACTGCTTCTTCTTCTTCTTCCACCTCTTGAAGTTCAAACAAAGGCCATGGCTTGAATTTGTCGTTTAATTCAAGTGACAATTATAATATCCATCTTTGGGTTAATTATTGCACTATTTTCCACTATTATATTGTTATCAAAATATGACTTGAAGCTCTCTTTTTTTTCTTCTGCATCTTTTTTCTTTTTATATAAACATTTCCTCTACTAATTTTCAATATATATAAAGTTAATTTCAACCAGAAATGATGCTTTTGGCAGGCATTAAAATACTAATTTAGCACTTGAATGGATCATGAAGTTAAAGTACATAATTAGGCTTTGGATCATGTAAAACATATATCATTATAGTAGTTTAAGAAATTTTAATGTAATTGATAAAAAAAAACTCGAAAGTAGTTGTATGAATAGTCATAGAAAGGTCTAAATTGAACATATGCTAACATATGCTAGAAGCTTATCTTCATCCTTCGTACCACAGATCAAAGAAATGTTCTATGGAGCAATGTCGTAAGCTCTATTATGTGGCACATTTATTTTCTCACATACATGAATGAAAGTGATATTTTTCAAAAAAGAGTATATAATCTTTACAACCGATTTTATCCAATTTCTTCATTCGAATATATAATTAAAAAGCGAAAAAAAGAAAAGAAAAGAAAAGAAAGAGGGGGTGTTCATGCATTGAGTTAATAATTTAAAAGCATATTCATCTGCACATTGCAAAAATGGTGGTGTTCCAATATTTGGGTGGAAAGACAATTGGTTTCATTTTTGCATATGATTAAACATGTTACTTTATGTATACTAGAGCATCCATAGACAAGTGGCATATTGCTGCACTTTCCTTGGTGCTTTGCCAGCATCAGATCCTTGCTTATTTGCTTCTGTACATTAAGTTAACGGGTTATTTTTTTTAGTACAACATGTCGAGGTGGGGGATCGAACTCACAACCTCTTTATTGGAAGTAGATGCCAATTATCGTTGAGCTAAGCTCGTTTTGACTTAAGTTAACAGGTTTAAGTTAATAAATGAGAACAATTTAATCTCTAAAGCAACAAATTCAGCCTAGGTTAACCTTAGGAAAGAGTAATTTCCTAATAGTTTCTTTTTCCCTCATCGTATATATTCTCTATACATGCTTTACTTATTTAATTGAACATTTTAAGCAATGCTTGGTTAAGGAAATGATGTGTGGACTATTAAGGCTCGTTTGTTAATGTTTCTTGTTTCTACGTATTTGACAACTATTTGTGTTTCTTGTTTTTTTTAGAAACACTCTCAAAATTGTATAGAAATGGTGAAAACAACGAAAACGAGTTTCCTTATCATTTCCAATATATTCCAAAACATAAATAAAAATATTGTTTTATCATTCTTGAATATATGAGGTTGAGTGATCATGAAATTCGACTCTTCTTTATTAAAAAAAAGAAACAAAAAATAAGAAACGGAAACATTACTAAACGACCCTCAATGTCAGCAGATAAGAAATGATTTTTTCCGTAAGCGTGAAGTAGAGATCTCTTCCTGTAATATTTTATTATAGCATAAATTATAATGCAACCACCATATCTCTAAATTGGAGTGCTTTCTTTTAGTCCTCCTTTTTTTGTGTATGTTTCTCACATACGTCAATGAAGTAGTTTTTCCAAAAAACAAAAGAAGTCACTGTTTAAGTAAGCTGATGGTAAAATATGTTACATAGTTTGGAAATTAAATAAGATGGAAAAAGAGAAAAGGAAAAAGAGGCAAAGGTGTTTCCTTTTCACACACAAAAAGCAAATTATCTAAGAAAGATTTTTTGTGTCCAAGTCCAACCATAGCATAGACTGCATGCAGCTATGGCCATAATTAACCACCACACCACTCTGAAACAAAAGTAGATGATGGACCACCAATGTTTCAAACACCCACAAGAATCCATTTTCACATATTTCTCAAATTAACAAAAGTTATAATAAAAAGTAAAGGTAAAAAAGACCACTAACTAAATGGTACAGACAATCTTTTTCGGATTCAATCAATTCCTTCCGAAACTATATTGACTGAAAGTCCTTTGATTGATCAAGACATTACTTACTCTCGTAGTTCTTGTGAACTCAAATAAAAATATATATATAAGGTGTCATTAATCTCCGTTCCATATGTTGAACTCAAACTTACCAATTAAGTTTAAAGGTACTCTAGTATCTTCAAAATCAATCTTCTTTGGTAATTATGACACTCCCATCATTTCTCTGAACTAGAGCGTTGTACTTTTTTTAATGAATGATGTGGTTTCTTTAAAAAAAATAAAAAATAAAAAATATTACCACCCTCTATGTTATTATTTTTTCCTTTTTCTTTTCTTTTGAGTTCAACCAAGGTTAAGAGAATTCGTACCCTCCAATCTTTTACGAAAGCAAGTAATGGTCTTGACCATGTTTATTTCAACAACAATCCATCTATCTATATCCTTAGAAATAGTGAATCTTTTTGAACTAGGTAGGAAATTGGATGATGAAGATGAAGTACAATTTGAGAACAAAATAGTATAATTAGTTTGAGGAATGGGGAGAGAGAGAGGGAAAGAAAGAATTAAATAATAATCATTGAATGTCCACTCCTAGGGATCTTCAAGTGGGTTGGTAATGAATGTAGGAGATAGGATTACAAGCTGGCAAAAGAAAGAAAATGGAAAATGGTACAACTTTTTTCTCCTTCAGTTGGGAAAGGACATGGGAAAAACAGTAGGGTGTGGAGGTAATACGGCTGCCGCTGCCTCTGGGCGGTTCTGCATTCTGCTTCTGCTCTGTGTCTTCAGAAAACTTCTGACATTTAGAATCTGAAATGTCACCATCATGTCTGCCTCAGCATTCATTTCACTTCCAATGTCATATCAGTCTCTGACTTTCTTCCCCACAATCCAACGCCAACACATCCCCCCTTCCTTCCGCACTCACCATTCACTCACTTTTCTTTTGGACCCTTCTTCAAAGTTCAAAATCCTCTCTCATTTTTATGTGTTTTCCTGTAAAGGGTGTTGGTTTCTCCAGCCACTTTGATCATATATTGCTTCAAGCGGGGCCCCATTCTTAGCTGAGACCAAGAAAAGGGAATGACTTTCCTAGTTACATTGCAAAATTAGAGCAACATGTGATTCTCTCTCTGGCTGGCATCTCTATCTTTTTGCATTTTCAGGGTAGGGCTTGTTTTGTTCCTCCATTCTGTGGATTCCAAGCATGACACGTGGACTTGTTCTTGTCCTGAGCCCTGCTTGCCCTTCCTAGCCTGTCATCCAATCAAACACCTAACTTATCTAATATCATGGATAGGAATTAGGATGTAGGTATCTGTTCCACTTTTCCCAGATTTTTCCTGGAATTCTTTGGGAACCTGCATTCAAATGTTTCACATGTGAAACTTGGCCTGCTTTTCAACTTCAAACTAAACAGAACTTAAATGGGGAATCTTGTTCTCACTTAACGATGTGACGTTTTGATCAAATCCAAACTAAATGTACATGAAACTAAAGCATACCATCGTAATCAATGAAATTATACATAAAGCTAGCAACCAGGAAAGAAGTTCTGTTTTCTGTTTTTGATTGAGTTAGCAATTTCCTATTCGTTTATAAAAATAAGGTATATTTGACACGAGAGTTTCTTTCCCTGTTTTTGAAAATTCCAAGTCATTTCCACAAACCAGAAGAGATCGAAAACTAAGCTTGACATGTCTTGGTTAGCAACAAACTGCATCTGCATCTTTCCCGACAGAACCGAAGGACAGTCTTGTATGATCATTGGACCCAAAGCTAAACTTAATATTTCTGGCATCGGTGTATATTGTATCGCTGTTTGTTGAAGAGAATGAGAAAACAAGGGTAGGACTGGACTTCTTTGAACCGAAACTGTATGAAGAAACTGCAGCAGTCTCAGGCTTCAATAACAGAGGCTGACTGCCCCCAATGCTGGTTGATGGAAAAATGGATGGTGTTGGTGGTTCCGAGAGCGTGCCCGAGGATGCTCCTGAAACGGGGAAAGTAAACCCCGAACCACTGTCGGAAGAAAATGCCCATTTTGACTCAGGCTTGTTGATGGTAATGGATGGGAAACCTGGTTTAATTCCAAGAGAGGGGGAAGGCTTAATTTTAGTCCCCTCTTCGGATCCAATAGCTGGAACAATCTTTGTAACATCCTGCCCATGAATTCAACCAGCAATTAAAAACGCTAATAATTTCAAAAAACAAAAAAAAGCATCGGTAAGTCGGTCAGCAACACATCACATAATTGAAAACTGATTGTGACAAAGTTGCAGATATACCTTGGGAGACGTGCTATTGATTTTTAAGCCTGCATCTCCCTTGTGTGTCAAATCAGCATGGCCAAGTCTAAACTTCAGATTAGAAGAATGTTGGTTTACAGCATCAGAATCTCTTCCAACACTCTCCTCTGGGAGAACTGTAGACACAGTTTTCCCCTTATCGCTCATCAATTGGGGGTGACAGTTCTGATCTCCTTGGTATGCTTTCTGTCGAGAATCTAACTCTATGGCCAAACTATTAGTTCCATTTGGCGTGATAGTATGTACATCAGGAGATGGGGATTTTTTCCATGCAATTGCTCTCTTTAACTCTTCAGTCTTTTCTTTTGGAGTGGGTGGGTTTCTACTAATATGTTCTAGTATTGTCCTAGCAACCTGACTGGATGGTGGACGGACGATCAGCAGACTCGATTCAGAGTTGTTGTTTCCCACTGAATATGAAAGCGGAACGGTGCTTGCTCCTCCAAGTTCCAAATTCTTCTTTGAATCAGGTAAAATGCCTTTCAAAATATTACAATTCTCTACCTTCGTCTCCGGTTGGCTGCTTGCATAAAAATAAGCAGATCGTCTGGAATTAGTAGCTGCGGATGCCTTATGCCGAAGCCTACGAATTGGTCCAATGGAACCAGTTGCCTCATCCAATGAATCATTGCTTGACGTCATCTATAAAGACAAACAGTGAAAAATAAATAAATAAGACAAACAGTAAACAAATGCAAACCGTTCTACTATATACCAGCAGCAGATCATGCTCAAGAAGTAACTATGTAATATTTAGTATGAGTTGCATTTTAAATTCACGTACAATTAGATATTAAAGCACTAAATAATGCTACGAACTAAATGCTCATCCTGAACAGAATTTGTCCAATGATTAAACAGTAAACAACCACCTAAAGGCACAACAGATTAGTAATCTGTTACAGCTAATCCATTAATCCTAGCGACTAGATGAAAATTTTTAACCATCCAAGTGGTTTATAAACTTCGGCATGATAAAGCAGCAAAGAAGCAACAACTATAGAAAGAATTTTAACAGAAGGAACCAACAAGAGCAGGAGAGAAACAAAAGATCAAGGATAATTGAACATTTCGGTTGAAAAGGTTCAAGGGTCAGCTTCAAATGAGATACTCAATATGGGCACCATATAAACCTACGTATGCACACATGTATGCATGTACTTATACATGCATAAAAGTTATACTCGAATTCATTATTATATTTTCAGCTTTTATTCTTCATGCTAAAATCAGCTTTTTTCCACCTTAAATGCCTAATCATTATGGACACACAAAACAATATTCAACGGTGAAGCTTGTCATACTACAGTTGATATTGCTCAGTATAAGATGCTACAAAAATAACTTTTCAACAAGAATTCCTAGTCACATTAATGTAGTCATCAAGTGCTGATACAAGAAATTACCTGACCATAAGCTGTAGTTCGTGGCTGCTGCCAGAGAGGCGCTGGTGTATTCACAAACTTTTGAGCATCTCCTTGCAATTCGGTTAGCTGTTTACATGATTGGGAATGGTTAATTATATGCAGTCTACTTACTAATATATATATTATGTCACAACCCAAAAACAGAGGAAGAGAAGACCATGTCTACATACCTTGGACTTGGACTTTGAAAAGATACTCCTAGAATATGGAGTCCGAGGAAAATTATGAAGACCAAATCTACCTCTTTGACTTCTCGGAGTTAAATAACCACGCTGACTTTCTGACATGGCACCGGGCCAACAAGTTGAGGGATTGGGAGACATTGATGGAATTAAGGGCTTTGACATTTGATGGTCACTGTGAAGCAAAGCCCTTTCGTCACCTGGTGTCTTGTCAGGAAGCAAGCTTGTTTGGGATTTTCGGCCGCTCATGTATGCTCTTGCAATATCCACAGGTGAGGCTACAACTTCATTTAGTTTCTGCTAATGCACATCCAATATTGAATTGTTAGAGAGGCAGAAAAAAATGTTAATAACACACTCTTAATGGTGAATAAATATCGAAGACTTCGGCAAAGATCATGTGCCGGAGTGTGTCAGGGCGTATCCATGTCCGGCACATGTCTGACACGGACACTTCGCCTAAAATGGAGTTTTAACTTCTTATTTGTACATTGACTTTCCAGACATTAACCAAAGTTAACATATGCCTAACAAACAAATGATGACTCATGAATGTCTGACCAGCACTAGTTTTACAATTTGATTTTCATAGGATCGTCAACATCATTAAGTAATAAGAATAGTACTAAACCAATTATTTGAAGGAAAAATATATATATATGAAAAACCTTGATATCACGTAATAATGGATAAGAAGCTATTCTTTGATTTGGTATGGTTCTCTTCCATCTTGAAAACTGAACCAATATCCTTGGTGTTGTTTTAAACATTATCCTATTAGTGGATACAAAAAACAGGTTACCTAAGATTATTTGTTGATCTTAAAATAGAAAACCTATCTATTCAACAGCATTGCAAATAATTACTAAATACTAAAATTGCTTAATAAAACCTATCAAAGAAACATAAGGTATCGTGACAATGGAAGAGAAATTCTGCAGTCTGCACTGATGCGTGAAACAACTTAGCAATTTGGAAAATTGACACACATTAGACCACCAGATGTAAAGACGTTTCAAGTTCATGGAAGCGAGGTGAGATTTACTCTACTTATTTCAAAGATCACCCTACTCACAGATGACTGTGGATGAGGAGTTAAGTTTCCCCACATGGCTCTCTCCAAATCTTCCTGCTTCTCTTGGTGAGGCATTTTTAGAACTCTATTTGCAGCAGATGGCTGCTCAGCTTGTTTTTCAATGCTTTGTGGTGAAAATTTCTTGTCTTCCACTTTATTAGAAGGTGCAAGAGCCTTTGATTGTATTATCTCTAATAAATGACTCACTTCATCCCTGCATAGGAAACCACCCAATTTAGAGAAATCAAGAAGTCAAACTGGCCAATGAGACCATTTTATATGGATATTTGACTATGAAAATAACCTATTTATCTTAATTTTCTTTTTAATAAGATGTTTAATCACTTTTAAGATGTTCATTTGGTTTTGGATTTTCTAGAAATCCTATACTACAAGGAATTGCACCGTAAGATACACATAATTGGCTTCTTTAGCTTCTTCAAATGTTGCATATCATATCATTTTCAAATCAACTTCCAGACATAACATCATAAATTAAATAAAATTTCAATCTGAAAATTATGGAAATGAGTAAAAGTGCTCAAATATAATTAGAAAATAGATGTTTTACTGAACAAGCCATCGTCGTGTCTAATTTTTTAGAAAATGAGTCAACATATCTATATCATGTTAGATTGTGGCCATGTTCATGCTTCATGCTTAAATGACACGTCACTATCATCCAAAAAAACAAACAAAATAGACAAACTAAAACTTACCTCGAAAATGTTTTTCCTTGGATCCATTTTTCAACATCAAAATTTATATTGCCAGCTAACACATCATTCTCTCTTTCTTTTTGGTGGCCATTAAAATCCGATTTGTTCTCTGATCTATTTACCTTTCCACCAGGACCAGGTAATCCAGGTAAGGAAGATGTCCCTTTCTGCAAGACATGTACCAAAATGCATTTCAATGAATCACATTACTGTATGCGTATATTTTTTCAAATGAAAAGTAAAATTAACCTGAATGAAAACAAAACAAAAAAAAACAACAACAACAGGACATAGGAAATTGTTCCCATGGATGATAATGGAAAAGAATGGATAAACAAATGTGATTCTGTAACTCCAAGCCAAGTTGATCAGGATAAGAATATTTCTATTCAGGAAAAGGAAACAAGAGAAGAAACAATTATACCATGTAAAGAAGTTTTAACGAATAAACAATCAGATTCTCTTTCAGAAAACAATTATCAACAACATGAGATTGAATGTCATTGTTCAACGAGAGATCAATAACTTCAACTAGCAGACAAGCATGAATCTGCCCATCATATGGTCAAAACAGTTATAACCTTATAAACTAGCCACGAAACAAAGTGTGATTGCCTGTGGCCTCGTTAAGAGTAGATGACCCTTCCCCTATGACTTTGTTTCTGTTTCGTTATATCTCATTGAATGATAAAAACCCAGTAACCACTTATGGATATTGACTATTCGTTTTTTAGTAGACAAAGCAACACCCAGATTCTAATTTGTAAGCTGGCACCACAAAGAAGGTGATCATAAGGCATGGAACAGGCATAAATGAAACAGCAAAACGGAAGAAAAAAAATTACATTTACATTGCGGAGTTCATCTTCGCCAGAGACGTTAGCCTCCACCTCTGCCTCCACTTTATCTGCTCAAGAAGAATTCTTTCATCAACAACAAGTCTTCCTAAATTATGTACAAATAAAACCCATAATGACATTCTATGGAGTCTGATGTGAATAATAGTCTCAATTTTAACAATTCAATTCCATAAATGATGTATGCAAGCAGCATTGCAAAGCATAGCTACACTCTTTTACTTCGTCAGTCCAAATCAGAAGGATCACATTGCAAATGCAAAAAGATGACTGCTAAGTGGGAAAATTTAAGAAACTTCGCTACCATCAGAAAAGCTATTAATTTCCCCAAATCCACAGAACAAAAATAGAGAGTTGAAAAAGGATATTGATTTCAACCGAGATAATGCGATTTCGAAACGCCTAAGCAGGTGGCGCTAGATAGAGAATTTAAAGAGAGAAGATTGGGGGGAGGACGCAAATAACCATGATCTTCGTCTCCTGGAGACGGAAGGGCATTGGAGGGCAGTGATTTAGAAAACAAATAGGGAAGCAGTCGTGTGGCGCCGCCGGTGATAAGCCGATAGGCTGGATCAACGAGCTTGGAGAGCCAGCGCCTGTGAGATTGGTTTTGCTCCGGCCGAGCGTAAGGGGTCGGCGGCGGCTTTCTTGAGGTTGGCTTCCGAAGTTTTCCGCCGACTCCTCCTCCGCCGTATGGTGTCGAAGATGTTCTTTGGTCAGCCCTCTCCATGGTTCTCCGACACACGGGCTCCGCCTTGGGTGGTGGTGGTGGCCAGTCTTAGTGAGAGCCCCGTCGACTGTTTTCCGCTTCTTTTTCTCTTCGGAAATATGTCGACTTTGTGGCGGCGACTGCGACTGCGAGCCAATAATCGCAATGTCGAACCTTCCTTTTTATTGCTTCTTGAAACGACTTGTCGTAAATTTCCAAGCAAATAATCATGTCGTTCACCCCTATAAGTTCTAAGTTTATTTTTCAATTGGGAAAATTACTTTTATACCACTTATTTTTGGAAAATTCTTCAAGGATGTTTTTAGAAACACAGGATTATTTACACTTTTAGATTTTCACCTTAAGTGGATTATTTTGTTGTTAAAATATCCTTACGAGAGATTTTCATTTAAGGCAAATATTGTTTTTCTTTTACGGGTAAATATACTTATTAATTAGTAAAATTTTAATTTTTGAATCTTTATTAATTAATGTGATATAAAAAATGAAATACTGATAATTAACTCCATAAATTTATCCATTAACCTATTTTATTTTCATTCATCTTACCGACAAATACCTTTATTTTTATTTTATATTTTATACACCTTTATCCAGTAAAAATCATTGTCGTTAGTTCGGTAAAACTCATTTAACATTGTGGGCAACCATCATTGACATTATTTTTCAGTGGAAATTTCTTATCTTTATTTATCATCTCTAACTTGATTATTGGATGTTTTTTTTAAGTGTTAAAATTCTTGCTTTTCTGGTGGCACGCAATAATTCAAAATATCATAATGACTAGAAAACAAATGAAGTATCTTTTATAATAATATTGAAATATTATTTAATATTACAAAATATATACCACGTATAACTAAAATATACTCGTAACATCGTATATAATAAATTTAAAGCATTATTAGTTATAAACTATATATAGAATATAACTAAAATATATTATATTTATAATACCATTGAAGTATTGGAAAAATCGCGTGGGCGTGGAAGAATATATCATGCGGTAGCGGACGGAAGTTCGAAAAATGTGGGTCATTTCTGGACGATTTTGGGGAATTTATTTGGAGGATTTTGGAGATGGTGAATTTTTTAATCAAAACTCAAATGAAAAATTTTAAATATGGCGCCTATTAGTATTTCCATTTTGGTTTATTATTATTTTTTTAACAAAATATATATCAACGTGGGCATTATGGTAATTTATGGTTGGGATAGTAGACTACACAAAAGTAAAAATATTTGTAATTTTGTCTTGTATCAGTTGCCTAGAATTTTACCCTACTGCTTGGTTATGGCAAAAAGTTTGTTGAAGTGAAAGAGTAAATATAAATATGTTATGCGATAGAAAGAGACCGTGTGTATGAATCCGACCTCCATAAATTGTTGTACTAAAAAATAAATAAAATAGAGTGACAAGTTTATAAATTCTCTTCTTCCGATATTTGTACAATAAATCATTGACTTTCATGGAAAAAAGGTAAAGGTTATAATTAAGAATCAAGCTATTGGGTATGGAACTTAACGAGTTCCATTTTTAACAATCAATTTGTTGTCTCTTTCAAAAGAAAAAAAAAAGATACAAATTAATAAATTTGTAAGTACTCAAAGCATCAATACTCAATTCTCATCTTTCACTTTAAGAGATAGGCATAAGATGTGAAATTGTACTCTCGACCCAACTATATATATTCTCATATATCGCGATAGAATCCCTAATGAATTAAGATAAAACAAAGATCTTAATTAGATTGGAAAAGAAAAATACGTGCCAAAGATCTTACTTCTTTTGAACACAAAATGGTTGATTTTGATGTATAATGTGACATGTTTTCATAATAAAACCGCATTAATATTTCATAAAGATCTAACATCCAAGTCACCATTATAAAGGCTAGCACACCCAATTTGGTTACTTTGATTGGATTTCCTCTTCTTTTTTTTTCCTATTCAAGATTTGGAGAAGCTAGGGAATTGCTGCTGAATAAGACAAGAAAAAAAGAAGTCACAAATTATGAAAGATTCTCCAAACTCCTCCATTTTTCAACCCAATATTTGTTGCTAAAGTCACAATCATTGGAAGATAGAGAGAGATGCATGAATTAAAGGATGCTAGAAAATTAGTATAGTTGTGGGAAGCAATTTATTATGGCAAAAAAAGAAAAACATTGCTTAGTTTTGAGAGAGAGAGAGAATATATATTATGAATGTGTGTTTCATTGAAGATTATAATATATGCCCAATTTCGAGGACTAAGGAATCGCATTTGCTGTGGAAAAACATTGGCTTTCCCACTACACAGTAGACAGCACACAATTAACACAGGCTCTATGGAAATAAAAAGCCTTTGAAAAACAACTAAAAAGAGTGGTTTTAAGAGTGGCGTGCATCACTTTTTCAAACCTCACAAACTATATATGAGTAGGCTTTTTGCTTCATTTCCTTAATATATTCTCTGCTTGGATTTGATGGACACCAAACAATAATAATGCATTGCATCACCCCTTTAACAGTTTTGATTTTGCAAAAATAAGGTTGGATTGGATCCATCTCTGACTAAACGTCTCGCGTGTCTAGTAACTAGCTAGCTACATATATAAGATTCTAATTTTCCTTGTTCATGCAGGATTTGGATCTGGACTTCAACGTCGACTATCTTGTGGAGCTGAGTGCAATTGAGAGCAGCAAAAAGTAGTCTCTTCTCTTAGCTCGGCCCGACCAGGTGGTCTGATCCGATCGACTTGACCTAAGCGATTCGACTCACGTCACTTCTATAGCTATTGCATTTACCCCAACGTATCAGCTTCAACTTTTGGGGTTGAGTGATAATTTATTCAACTTTAACATGGTATCAAAGAGAGAGGTTTTATGTTCAAACTCCTACATTTACCCTAACTCATCAGCTTAAGTTTTTAAGTCGAGAGGTAGTTTATTCATTATTTACAATAGCCTCACTTGTAATTCGTATAAACAAATATGGATAGGAACCATTTCAATGATACAAGATCACGTTTACCAGCTCTGTAATGTGTACTTGATCAACCACTTGTGTTATTCGTTCATTGAATCTTGATATGAATTGGGAAGTTGATATGGAGGAATTTTTCTACTGCATAATATCTGTTTAAAGCAATATATATGCAAGTGCCTGTACAAATGTAAACCCATCTCCATGAATAAAGTCTGTAAAGATTGAAGAATGAAGGTAGAAAAGGAGAGGAATAAAAAAAAAACAACCAAGTGAAGATGGTACGAAATGACAGGAAGAGAAAAAAAAGGGATGGATGGGGGCAAATTAACCTTCTCCAATATGAAAAATTCCTGACTGGAAAAAAAAAAAGAATCAAGTTCCTGACGCTGACGGCTTATCAGCTACATGTGACATCTTGGCCACGCTGATAGGACCTCCCCCTTCAATTCAGCTTACAGTAACAAATTTTGGCTCTGGCTTACGTTATAGCAGTGAATAATCCAAGGCTTTTAGATTTCAAAAGCTCAGAAAATGGTTTGCTAATGAACCCTTTAAACAAAAGATTATGGAAATTAAGTTGAAGTTGAGAGATGGGTGAAGCACCCAATTTGGTTTGAGAATTTAAGGGGTGAACTGAACAATGGGAGCCCCCATGTGTAGCAGTAGAATAAAGGGGCACAAAACCAAGCCTAATATTGCCCGTCCATTTTCTGTCCCCACGAAGCACAAGTTTTTCTACTTTCATGAGTCATATTGGTTCCAAGTTCAACCCCATCAATCACATCTGTGATCCAAACAAACTGAGCTGTCAATTTGTTTCAATAAAGGGCTTCAAAGCCTAGCGCCCAGCCCCCTCTATGGTGTTTAATGGTAATGAACATTGAAGAAAAGATCAAACGTGTCTACAAATTACAGCCACCAAACTTTGGCAAAGCTGAGTGTTGCTTATTAGCCTAAAAAGAAGCTTTTGAATAGTTTCAAATTGATCTCTCTCAGGGATATGCCCATCTCATCAACACATCATTTCAGGATGCTGAGTTACTGTTTCGACAATGCTTAAATTCCACGACCACAGCACAACTCAGAAGAACGCCTGAAAATGAAAATGGAAGGTGAAAAGGCTATTATGAGAGATCATCAGCTAGAACCGAGAGATACTTTTAAAATTGCCTACCTGATCCATTTCTTGCTTGGTGTTGGCAATTTGCTCCCATGGAATGCTTCGATCACTGCGGTTGATTACTTTGGCTACCTGTATCCGACCAAGCACGTCGAGAAGGTTTTCTCTGTTGCTTACATGACATCTTCTGTGCTCGTTCTGGTTCTGATGATTGCTTGGGATGGATGGTCTAGAAAGATGAGCTTCAGATTTAGAATGAACTTGGGATTTTCTTTGTTTATCCTTTCTGTTATGGTGTCTCCAATCATGGACTGGGCTTCGAACGTGACTGGTTCGAACTGGAGACCGAACGAAGTTTATGGTGTGATCGTTGCATCAATTGTCACCTGCGGTTTGGCTGATGGCTTGGTAGCAGGAAGCTTGATTGGATCGGCTGGCAGGCTTCCAAAACAATTTATGCAGGCTGTGTTTGCAGGGACTGCTTCTTCAGGTAATATCTTTATCCAAACCTTATCATTAATGTTATTTCTCCTCTCATCCTTCGACCTATGTCACGAAAACATTAACATCAATATAAAGTACCACACATGATCTAGCATCCTAGAAAGCATGTAGCATTCAGTTGGCTGAAAGAGCAACAAAATAAGTACTTTCTCAATTAAATTGCATGAAAAAGTATGTAAGTGATGTGGGAATTGGCTGTAAAGTATGTAATGTTTTAGTGATCTTTACTGATGTGACAACTGAGTATTGGTGTATAGTTCTAAATTGCAAACACAGATGATATTCATTCTTTGTTAAACCAGCACAAAAAGATTCAGTTTGGTCCCAAGTGGTGAACAATTGATTAAATAAGTAAATCATTTACCAGTACAAAAGTCAATAGTAAACCTGCTTGTCCTTGCCAAGTAAACATAAAGTTATATACCATAGCTCATTTTGCTGCTCTGATTCCATGAATCTAGATAGACTAACTAGGCACCTGATAGAAAAAATGATGGTGGCAGGTGTTCTTGTTTCAATCTTGAGGATTATAACAAAGGCTTCGCTTACGCAGTCGCCGAAGGGTCTTCAGAAGAGTGCGCATTTGTACTTCATCGTTGGCGCTTCGATTCTCTTCTGCTGCATTGTCTCATGCAACTTGTTGTGCAAGTTGCCAGTGATGCAGCATTATTACAGAGTTCTTCTAGATGAGCCTCCATGTTCAAAAGCCAAGTTCTGGACAGTGGTGGGGAAAGTCAGGTGGCCCGCGTTCGGAATTTTCATAACTTATGTCGTTACGCTATCAATATTTCCAGGATTCATAGCCGAGGACCTGGAATCCAAACTGCTTCAAGATTGGTATCCCATAATACTGATCACAATATACAACATTGCAGATTTAGTTGGCAAGTCTCTAACTGCAATATACATCTTGAAGAACATCAACAAAGCAACATGGTTCTGCATCACCAGGATTCTATTTTATCCACTCTTCATGGCCTGCATCCATGGACCAAGGTGGCTGAAGACCGAATTGCCAGTGATCGTTCTGACATTTTTGCTCGGCTTGAGCAACGGATATCTGACAAGTGTCATCATGATCAGTACTCCCAAGTTATTGCCTGCATCAGAGGCAGAGCTATCTGCCATTGTAATGGTTGTGTTCCTGGGAATCGGGTTGGTCAGTGGATCAGTTTTAGGCTGGTTCTGGATCCTCTGAAGTTGAACCAAAACTCAATAAATTATTTAGTACCCTGTTACAGCAGTTCGCCAAAATGGTACTACAGGCTAATAAAATGTTGTCTTGTCCAAATTATCCGGATGGGAAACCTTTTGCCAAACTTCACAAGATAAAAAGTGCACAAACAGACAAGATAAAAGGTCTAACATTCGAACCACCACCACCCACCACGTTCGACCGTTGAGAAAAGCAAACCAAATTGTAAGGCATGAAGAAGAAGAAGCTGACAAGAAAAGTTTTTCACTCAAGTGGCATCTCTCTCCATGTTCAATCTTAGGTAGTAGTAAGTAACAGATGTAGCATTAGAAAAGTCTAAGGATCAGCTGTAGTAGTTTCATCGTTTCTTTCTTAAAGGTAAATTCAGGCACTTCGTACCTTCTCTTCTTCAGGTCCCTGTCATACCCTCCATGATTTGATGCCTTAAACTAACTGAAAGACTCCAATTTAACAGGGAGAATCTAGTAACATTTTCGGTTTAAACTTTTCAGATCAGATCTTGAAAACTCTAGGCTTGCAGGCTAACCACAAATGTATCACCAATAGCACTATCACACTTAATAGAACCAATAAAGGGGGCACAGAGAGAGAGAGTATCCTCAAATTATGAAGCCATATATATCTTATTTTCTTTCTACAATTCTCATTCCGTAGGGAGAAATTCGATATGTATGGATGATACAACTCACCACTGCATGAAAAATATTGATACTAACTTATCAAAGCCAATAAGGAATATAAACAGGGGTCAGGATGTTATTTCTGAAGCTATGATACAAAGGAAATGGGGGCAGGGAAAATCTAAGAAGCAGCAGCTAGAGGGGGTGGGGTGTGAACTCCTTGAAAGAAGCTCGTTGCTGGCTTTTCGCTAAAGCTATCCCCTCCTACTTCCTCTTCTTCTTCTTCTTCTTCTTCTTCAGCATCCCAAAGGAATCGTGCATACGATGCTAGAACATAACTGCACCATAAAAGAAACGAATAATAAGGCGTTAGACAACCATAACTCTCATCCCAAAGTAAGAAGCCAATCGCCAAATCTGAAAGCTTACCAGTCGTCAGGGGCAGCTTTAACAGCTTGATCAAAATAACTCTCGGCCCTTGGAGAGTCCTTCTGAGTTTGCCATATCAGATCAGCGTACATGGACAAAACATTACCATCCCCTGGATTGCTCAAGATTGCTCTCCCACAATACTCTTCAGCTTTTACAAGGTCTCCACGAACCTATTCACCCGAACAAATCATCATACAAATACCAAAAATAAGTAACGTTTGGAATTTGGATGCTAGTTTCCTTTTTCTTCCAACATATAGCAATTGGGCTTTGAGTTTGAAGATGTACCTCTTTCAAGAAGCGAGCATAATTGCTTAAAAGCATCGAATTCCCAGGATTTGCCTCGATCATTTTTTGATAGTACAAATCCGTACTCTCATTCCCGTAACTCGAATGATCTCCAAACCCTGAACTCCCATCGTCCCCACCGTCGGATCCTCCGCCGCCACAGATCCCTCCGCCAGTACCACCAACTCCACCTCCAACCAGAACACCAACGTCAGAGACTTCAGAAATCAAGCCACAGCTGAAGGACAGCGTGTTGGAGCAGGTAAACCCAATCACATCTCCCTCTTCGGCCACCTCAGAAAACCCACTGAGAGTTCTGGTAAAGGGTTTCGTCCTGGTGATGGAGAGGTCCCGAAGATCCGTCTCGGATCGCGCCCGAGAAATCTTCCGCGGCGAATCGTCGATTATCGGAGACAAGCTGGAACTGGGGGAGCCAGAGAGGAGATGGAGAATGGAACGCGACCTGGGAATTTGATGCACAATCTCGGGTTCTGCGGATGAATCCCTTGAATGGTGTAGCCATGAATTGAGCAGGGGAGTAGAAGCACTTCTCAGAAGCATTATTTGGAAGTGATTATCGAAGTTTTCGTGGAGAAAATAGAAATGATTCAGTATCAGTTCTCTTCTCTGAGGGGGCTGGGGCTGACCTAAACAATGGGGGGATTTTTATAGGGATAATGTGGCGCTGGAGAATTTGGCGATCAAATGAATCTCAGACGTTGGTTTGGCGGGGTGACATGACAGCTTGGAAACCGTGTAAGCCGCTGGCGCACGAGGTTTTCATTAATATGTCTTAATTACGTATAATACATTATTTACACAATGAAGTATATGTGTGTTTTATGTGTTTAATGTTGATGTATTAAATTGATCCTAATTTTTTTAGGGGACGACTTGCTTTCAAGAGGAGGTTTTTTTTCCCCTTGAGAATACATCGTAAAGGTTAGAACAAATTTCTCAAAAATAATATAAGAAATGTGGGTTATATGAATTTTAATATATCTTCGACCTAGTTTATGTCATTTACTATTTTGAAAAATTTTAGTGTAATAAGTGGGGTAGAAAAATTCGAACTTATAATTTTTTGATCATAAATAAGTGTCAATTACCGTTGAATTAAGTTCATATTGGCTATAATAGTTTGTATTTTTATTTTTCTAAAATATAAACAAAAGTATTTGTTTTATCAGAAAAATGACCAACTCTGTGAAGCTTTGCTCGGATTGGAGACTGCTCGATGGATAAGCTAGATGGGTGACCTACAAAACAGAACACACTCCGATGCGAAAGTCAGTAGCAGGTCGAACTAAACTCGAGAGAGAATTTAGTATTCACGTACCTAAAAATGAAGTGAATGAGTCTATTTATGGGCGACTTCCCCGACAATATTCCCGACAGTGCCTCAACGACTTTTTAAGGTTGCCGTGAATCACGGCGCATTGTAGTGGAACTTGTTAGAGTCTGGGGCTAAGCCGAATTAAAGCTAGACAGACCATCTAAATAAATGAGAATTAACCCTCATGGAGCTTGGTCGACTCGACCACGCAAGACGTCAGCTTGGTTGCATAGACGAAATTGAGTTAGTGACACTTCAAGCTTATAGACGAAGGTAATATATACTTCTTATCATCTAATTGACGTGCACCACGTGTACGGTGAGAATTGCTTCCAGCAGTATTATTTCATTATGATTCGCTTATAAAATACATGTAAAAATGACATAAAAATTTTAATATTTAATTTAAAATTTAATTTTTATATACAAAACTTCCTTTTTTTTCAATAACATCAAATAAAAAATAAATTATTTTCAAAAATAGAAAACAAAAAATGAAGAACAAGCGATGAATAACTTAAACAATTTTGATCAAATGTCACATTGGTATGAGAAATGTAATTTTGCAAACAACCTAACGACATTTCTATTCTCATTCTAGTTGTCTTCCCCAATCTCATATTGTAGGAAGAATTAATAGCATGAGGGAAAGTGGAAACATGTTAAATTGCCAACTTGAGCATGGTTTAGCGAATTAAAACAACTGCCTTATACTAGAAGAGCGTGAGGTGGAATATTCTTACACGTATTAAAAAAATAGAAAAGTGTGGGATCCGCTGTGGACAACACGTCACGTGAGGAGGGCCCAATGAACAGTCCTGATTGGTCGCCTGTCAGAATTTTAACGACTCTGATTAAATCATTCACGTGATCGAGAAAACTACCTCCACGATCTTTGACAAGGAAAGATGGATTTTATTTCCCTCGACTCCTAAAAGCCCTCCAACTTTCCCAAATTGACGCTTCTGCCACTCCCGGCCATGAGTGGCTGGACGTAGCTTTTCGGGACCCACCTGACGGAACTCAGAGGACACGTCGGCGTCGTCCGTGGACCCACGGCTTGATTCAACGGTGAGTCGTAGAGCCGTCTGGCGATTGCGACTAAGCCACTTTTAGGGGTACTATTGTAATTTCGTGTTCTTCTTAAAATGATGATGCTCAAGTGTGTGCTCCGTACTTCACCAATCATATCGGCGGCTGGAATTTGCGGATATTTTTTTTCTTTTAATTTTTAAATAAAACCTTTCGGAATCTTCGTCGCCGGATCTTTTTCCTCGCACATCCACATGAAATTGAAACATGGTCGCCTCTTCCAAATAAAATTTAATCCTATTTTCGACCATCCAAAATTTTTTAATTTAATTTGTTTTCATTCCTTTAACTTCAAACATTAAATTCTATATAATTGTTTAGTTGGTTTAATTCTATTAAAAATTATTGTTTAAAAAATGAGATAAATTTTGAACCACACGAACATGATTGGTAGATTTTACAAATCATGTTTACGAATGCAATTAATACATACACAAAGAAAATGATTTATAAAAGTATTGATATTAATATTAATATAAAAAATACTTGTATAAATATTATTATTTTTTATGTTTGATTTAGGCTGATAGAAGTAGTAACGTGAAGTACTAAAAGTGATGATGATCCGTGCAACTCGCACTAGTTGTTGTGCCTTGTAACATTCAATATTTAAATGAGATTATATATTAAAGAGGTGTTGCAAGTTGAATAGGGATGATGCCACGTACTTGAAGATTTTGCTATTATTCAAGAATAATTCAATCTCTTGGATTGAGTAGTGGTGGGACATTAGTTGTCATGTTGTGGGCAAATCGAGGTGGGTTCCATTTATGTATTGGTAATATTTTAATAAATATGGACAGGTATTGAATCCGGAAGAATAGGAAAACATTTATAGTAAGATTTTCAATGGAATGTGATTATTTCAAAAAAAATTTGTCAAAAAATTGTTGATTTTTGAGATAAAATGGATGTTTTTATTTAAATTCTTAATTATAGCACATTTTATTTTGACAGTAAGATTACATTAAGATTGAAGAAAATTTGAGGAATAACATTTTTTTTATAATTCGAAATCGATGTCATGTGACTTATACTAGAAGTTTCGGGAGTGCAACCCTCCACTACTGTCCCCGACGTTGCAAGATTTATCCTTGAATTTGGTTGTACGTTCCTTCGTAAAGGTTCATTCGACTCGTATAGATCTCAACGATTGATCTTCATAAAGGATGAGCCAATGATAAAAAGTATCGTACTTTCTTGCTCTTGACTGTCATTTCTCTGACAATATGCCAACCATTTGAGCAAGTTGCATCTATTGGTCGAAACCTATAACTAGAGAGTTCCGCCCTATTTTTCAAGTACGTAAAATTATTACTCTTTCTAAAAATAGATCGGACTTAAATTGACTTGAGTGTTAGAGTCTTTTAATTCTCTAATTTTACAAGTTTCGAGTGTTGGTCGATCCATCTGTTTCAAACTTCACAATAAGATCATTAATGATAAAAAATAGTTAAAGTCTGAGTCGCTTTTGGTCATTTTATTATGATGTTTCATTAATTAGAAAATACAGCAAATTAACGTGTGAACCAAATAATGGTTTCTAATACTCCAAAATTGGAAAAAATAATAATCGAGTCAACGGCGGCAGAGATTGTAAATTGATTTCATTCTATTATTTTATTCTTGCCATATATGGGAACCTTCCAACAGCCGCAGTCAAATCCCAGAAAGGGACAAATAATTATTAACTAATATTTTTAATTCGGATTCTGTCGTGCGGACCTCATACGAACGATCACAGCCATTCATTTCTTTCATATGACCTTTTTCCTCGTCCAATCGAAACGAGGAATCTCTCCAAATGGGCCCCACCATACCTCGCTGTTTCTTTCGTCTTTTTCTGTAGCGTGTAGCCAAATGTCCATGCCTTCTCAAGGCCCATTTAAATTGTGGCCCAAAATGGGCCCATCTCAGAACCATATGTGGGCCTTAGTTACTGAGAGGAGCCCAAGATTGAAAACGGAATTTGTAGCAACCCTCCTAAATTATAAGTTTGAGAATGGAAATTATAGTTGGAAAAAGGAAAAAAAAACCAATAAAGTATTCATACATGGTATAAATTAGTTATATTTACATAAAATATAATATAACATCATATGATTCATTATTATTATTCTTTTTAAATATACGTGGAAGACAAGTTAACCTACACTTTCATCAATAAGGTTTTAAATATCGATATCTCAATTTCACATAAATATCAGTGTCGATGGATATTTCGGAAAAAATTATAAAAATAAAAAATTCGTAAAAAATATTAATTATAAAAAATAATTAATATTAATATTATGACTATATTAGTAATATTTTGTTGATATTTTTTATATTTTATCATGAAAATATCCCATGGACATATGAAATGTTGATAAGAAATATCCACCAGTTAGTAGATACAAGTACGAATTTGGAAGTGAAGGGGGCAGCTTAAAGTTTGGACACGTGGCATCATGCCTCCCGCACATAAATGCAAAATCTCGACTTTATGTAAATGGAAACATATGCTTTTCCTCATGCTTTAAATAGTATATATCACTGTTTAAAAAAAAAAAGTATATAGCACTACTAACAAACAAAGTATATAACACGATATTTTATTATGATGGAACCATAATTTTTATATTATTAATGAAACGTAGATTCTTACATCACTGGCATAAGTTTCTAAATAAAGTATGTGAAAAAAGAAGTTGATATATAAACTATGCAAGTGTTCAATAAATTAATACATCAAATGCATCAAGTTTTCTTATAATATAAAAACACATGTTTGAGCAAAGCCAGCTCATTAGCGTCAATTTTTAAGTCTAGATTGATATTTGAATGGTTCAATAGATTAGATATTTATTATTATACCAAAAACTTGTAATATACCGGCTAAAATTGAAATTAAAAAGTTGAAGAGGTAACATATCATTCTTGTTGATTGCCATATTTTGACTGATAAAATAAGTTAAGAATTAAGTAGGGATAGCTTAAGATGATACGAGATCTTAGGCAAAATTTTGATTGAGATGCCTTAGTATAGAAAATATCATCTAAATTTTATTTTTCTTACTTTTTGAGATACAAAATTATATATTGAATTTTGATAATCTAAGTTCATATAGTATGACTAATCCATTTAATCTTTCTTGTGACAAAGTTGACCTTAAATACGATTTCATTAATTTTAATTTTGAAAAGTTTCTTTCCATGGAAGCAACTTTTACCAACATTGTTAATAATATTCTATAGACTATAACCAACATACGCATTTGGAAAAGTGTTTATTTTTTTATATATAATTTAATATTTTAATAGAACAGTCAATTTTCTTTTGCAAGACCTCTCTTAATATTTTTAATTCAGGAAATAAATCTAAACCGCTAATGTCAGAAAACGTATCATGTGTTAATGTATTTTCAATATGAATACAATATGTTTTTAGATTATCATCCTCTAATGACTTTAAAAATTTCATATCAAATAAGAAGTTAAAGATATTTTCATATACGTAAAATTGTTCAAATCTATTTTTAAAGTTTGGATACTTCATTTTCAACGATCATATTATCATCTACTATTTTTCTTTCATCCCTTATTTATCTATACCTGTCATTTCTTTTATTAGTTCAACATTTTTATTAATTTTACTTCCAATAACAAATTTATCGAGCAAATTCAATCAGTTTTTCTACTCTTGAGCTTTTTATATATTCATATTCATATTTTGCATATTGATGTTCTAAGTAATCAAATCTAAACAAATCTTAGATATTAAGGTTTTGAACCATCAACAATATATATATAAAAAAATAATAAAAGAATTTGAAAGAAAAACCTAAAAAAAATAAAATAATTTGAATGAAAAACTTGAAACTTTGAAGCCATTAGGTTGAGTCGAGGAAATAAGAATTTTCGATTTCTACTCTAACAATTGATAATCTCGTGTGACCACATAGAAGATGAAGATGAAAATTTGAGGTTTTAGAGAGATTGAGAGTGAAAGAGGTGGGAGAGTACTGATACATAGAGAGAGGAGAGTTTAACTTTAAATTAGTGAAACTAAGCAATATATTTAAGAAGTTTTTTTTAGAGAAGTTGAAAAATTTTGGTGGTAAAAAAAATAAATAAAATATAGTAGTGTGTATTTTCAATATTAAAAAAGGACCTATCATATTTTTAAATTTAATTTATAATTAACAACTAAATTAAATAGATACCAATATTATATATTATAAGAAAAATATGAGACTTTCTAGAACGATACTATAGGCAATCGAAACATACTCAACACTGACTATAGGCAATCGAAACACACTTTCAGTGGACAACACAGGCACGAGTCGCATGCAATCACAAGAATCTAGAGAAAAAATGGTTCTCTCCTACCCGAAACTCACGATAATAGAAAAGGAAAGGTTTATATAATATATATTTATTGTTAAAATTCACTTTTGGTCTGGATTTATATATACTTTTATTGGAGTAACAATCCAGTAACCATAGTTTGTATTGATTTAATACTGTATTTTCAAATTTGTAACAATTTAATTTATGAATTTTAAGTATGTAACAATTTAGTTTTCATAGTTTAAAATTTGTAACGCTCTAGTTTCTAGTATGATCAATCTATATAACATAAGTTTTTACGTAATAAAAATCAACACTTAAGTTTGATGAGATTTTTTTATGGTTAGGAGCTAAACTGTCTGAAGACTAAATTGTTATATACAAAAAGAATTAAATTATTATAAATTTTAAATTTCGAAGTCTAAATTATTGTTACATACTAAAATTCATCAAATAACTTTTACAAATTTAAAAATATATGAACTAAAATTTAGGAATTAAATTATTATACTAAAATTATTTTTTAACCTCTATTTATTGAGTTTTCAATGGCTCAAATTATACATAAGATTTAGATCTCACCATCTCTATACACTTAAATTAATTACACAGCTACTTAAAAATAAAGAGTTCAAAATAGACAAAAAGAAAAAAAAATAATGGTAGAATACCAAAGTTGAACCTTTTAAATAATAATTAAAATATAAAAAATTTACTATCTCTTAATTGAAGGTATATACCAATTATTTCGATTTGCTCGCTTTAGTATTTATGTATTAAACTTTTTTTTTTGAGTAAAATGTTTTCAACCATTTATCTACCAAACAACATAAAATTTGATTAATTGAGACATTTATATCCTTCTTAAAAGTTGAAGGTTGAAATCACGCGGTCGCAATCTGGCCGTCTGCGTGTGGGATTGCAATGTACGGTGGCGTCGCACCCCGTTATTTTCGGCCATAGATAATGATTGGTGGTCATTTCTATTTCTTGCCGGGCCCGATTACAGCAAATTCCAATATTTTCTGCCGGAGCTCTGCTGATTAAGTAAATTCCGGTAAGTTTCTCACCGGAAGGAATATTTGTGTTTAGTTCCCTGAATTCTTGTTTGGTGCTCCTTACATTTTGGTTCTGATTAGCAAGAAAATTTCGATTTGTTGTTTGCCCGCCTTGTTAGGCGAGGATAGTACGGAAATGGATTAGCTGGAAGCTTTCCTTTGCAATCCCAAGTTTCAGATCGTTGTGTGGGTTGTTTGTGATTGATTTCCGTGCAACTGATTTTAATTTTTGGTATCTATATTGGGAACGAGAAGAATATTGTGCTCGAGTATGAAGAGAAATTAAGTGCATAGCTGAAGAACGATGCGAAATCGATGACTATTGTCCTTGCACAAAGCTGAGGCGCACTATTCGAATTTGATCGCGGAGTTGTGTTCTTTGTTGAATTTCGTCGATTGATGTTTTTTCTGTCATGTTAGATGCTTACAACTATTATTTTTCTTAGTTGAGAACTATTTCGGAGTTGTGTTTTCTTCTGGGAAATGCGATAATGAAGCGGCCGTCCAGAAAAGTTGGGAAGTATGAGGTTGGGCGGACTGTTGGCGAGGGAACGTTCGCCAAGGTTAAGTTTGCACGTAACACGGAAACGGGGGAGAGTGTGGCCATGAAAGTTTTGGCCAAAAGCAGCATTCTCAAGCACAAAATGGTAGAACAGGTACTTCAAAAGATTCTTCTACTTAAACGCATGGAAGTATTTAATGTTTACGTGCTGCCTATCGAGTATTCTTGTCATAACTGAATTAGAACCCTGACATTTTATTAATTTGTTCTTTATTAAATTCACCCGCCAGTGTCTAGAATACCCAAATATGAATTATCGAGGCAAGACGCATGAATTCACTACTCACTTGAAGATTCCTATTGCACGTCACTCTAATAAGGAAATCATGGGAATATACAAAGCATTATCGATATGTGGTGATGCCTTTCACCATGGTTTAAGCTGTGCCATTCTAGGAAATATAGATCTGCATAGCCATTATTTCTTAACGAATGGAAAGCTAGACAAAGAAATCAAGAAATGCACATTAACGGTCTCTGCCCATTAAGCTCAGGAATTCAATAAGCACGCAACATGCATATCCGGGTTCTGGAAGGTTCATTACATATATGTAATGATACTTGCCCTTTAGTTCATGATCTGGATATTTCGTTGATATTTTATTTTATGAGTACTTTTTCAGATTAAGAGGGAGATATCGATAATGAAAATTGTGAGGCATCCACATATTGTCAGATTGCTTGAGGTATGCTTATTGCTTCATGACAATATCTAATAACTCCTACAAGTTTTTGTTGTTAGCTTCCTCCTCTTGGCACTTTTATGACGTGTCTATGTTTTTCTATCTCCCTCTAAATTTTAGGTGTTGGCTAGCCAAACAAAGATATATATTATTCTCGAGTTTGTCACTGGAGGTGAACTATATGATACAATAGTAAGACTTTCCTGTCATAAGTAATTGAATAATATAATCTCCTTGCTTAGAGTCTTACACAATAGATTGGTAAGTAACGAACATACAATTTCCATTGAATATAATTGGTCTGCACAGGTTCTTCAAAAGAAGCTTCCAGAAATGGAGTCTAGACGATACTTTCAACAACTGGTAGATGCCGTTGCTCATTGTCACAGCAAGGGTGTGTACCATAGGGACCTTAAGGTGCAAAACTTTTAAATAGAATATACAGTTAATGGTTCTGGCAAAAGATTGTTTCATATGTTCTGTTCCTAACTGATACTTTACTTCCATGTCATAGCCTGAAAACCTCCTTCTTGATGCTGATGGAAATCTGAAGGTTTCCGACTTTGGACTGAGTGCGCTGTCTCAACAAGTACTGTGGAATGCTAATTATCTTGAACAATAGAATTGTTTTTTTTATTTTTTTATTTATATACTTATTTCTCATTTCTCTGACCTATTTTGCTCTGTCTCTATTCAGGGCATTGAGCTACTTCATACCACATGTGGAACTCCTAATTATGTTGCACCCGAGGTACATTATCCATAAGCATTGTCTAAGTATAACTACAAGTTGAAGACTCGTGATTCGTGAGTTTTATTGATTGTGGAGGATGTGAGAACATCCTTGCCTCAAATGTATGTACTATATACGACAAAATGCTCATAAGTAGGTGGTTCCATTATTTTGCTCTAGTTCATTAGATTATAAATGAAAATATCTTATTTCTTTATGCATTTACCTATCTTCTTTATCGTTCTGTTTTTTAAATCATTATTGTAAACCACTCTTTGTAGGTGCTTGGAGGTCAGGGTTATGATGGTGCAGCTGCAGATATATGGTCATGTGGAGTTATCCTCTTTGTACTAATGGCTGGATATCTTCCATTCTCAGAGACGGACCTTCCCACTTTATACAAGAAGGTATGTTTCCATCACCATAGTTTCTCTGAATAGAGTAATTGTCTCATATTTCAATGGTTGGAATCCTCCCAATTCATGAGTTCGACCACTTAACCTGTCTAGATAGGCTTGCTAGTGCTACCATTACTCAACTTGAAGAAAGGTGTTTTTTTCTAAAAAATTTAATAGGAACATCATGAGTTCGACCACTTAACCTGTCTAGATAGGCTTTTTTAGATGGCAACATCACAATAGATATCCAATTTTTGAAATATTGGCATTTTGAAATCTTTTTTAATTTTATTTTTTATTATGGTATACTCAGGGTTGGAAAGTATTAGATGAACTGATCTTTGTAGCGAAGCGAGATCATTGGTCACAGCTTCACAACTGTCAATGTTAAGTTTCTAATAACTTAATTTTTTATGCATAGATAAATGCAGCAGAGTATTCCTGCCCCTATTGGTTTTCATCTGGTGCGAAGTCCTTGATACAGAAGATCCTTGATCCAAATCCCACAAATGTGAGTTTTTTCAGCTCTTAGATTCAACAACTAACTCTCCAATTGTGAGCTTTTTGGTTCACTATAAACCCACTGGTTTGACCGTTATTTATTACTACGGTGTTCATGGGTGTACTGACGCATCAATTTTTCTGCTCAGTATTACAATTACCTTTTTGTTTGCGTGAGTTGCCACTCATGTGGAGTTATGGCATTCATTAAAATTATTGTGGAGTATCTTAAATAAATGATAAAAAGTTCTCCATATCACATAGGATTTAATATCTGTTTGTATTGTGTCAAAAATTTTTACTAGAGGTTTTTGTTTCTAATGCAGCGGATTCGAATTGAAGAAATTAGAAAAGATCCATGGTTCAGAAGAAACTACATCCCTGCTAAACTAGGAGAAGATGAGGAAGTAACCTTGGACGACGTTCGTGCTGTTTTTGATGACATTGAGGTGGACTTTTTCTTCCTTTATCACCATTTATGCCATGCATCTCTTCAAAATTAAAACTTTTAGGGGTTTATGAAAGGCATGCTATTCTGAGTTTTCTGTGTAACGATATGCAATCTTCTTTTTTCTAATTTCATTAAGTTTAAAGCTTGTGTACTGGATCTTGACAATGTTTTGCATGTTTTCCGAGCATATTTTGTGTCCTAAATTAATTCTCTTTGCTCACATCGGTAGTTGTCTTTTGCAGGAAGAATATGTAGCTGATCAGTCAGATAAAAGTGATGACGGTCCTTTACTAATGAATGCATTTGAGATGATAACATTATCTCAAGGATTAAATCTGTCACCGTTATTTGACCGGCGACAGGTTCGCTCATGCCAAGCTTTGTTTTTATGCTGACATAGAAAACGTCAAGAGCTCTATTGCATCACCCTTTCAGTTTGTAATGTGTGTCCAACTCGCATTGTATTTCTACTAGATTGATGTAAGGCCTCCAATCTATAAATGTTTATGTTAGGAGGGGCAAAGGAGAGAATTCCACAAGTTAGTTATGGAGTGTTATGGAGTGTCAGTTAGAGGAGAGAGACGGAGGGACATGGAATAAAGTAGGAGGAATGTAGGGAAGATTTTTTTTATGCTTTTTGTGGAGTAGAACGGTTATGTTCTGTGGAGAGGTTACCAGCCCTCTCGAATTGGCTGGATAGACGTTGAATTACTGTGTTCTTGTTTTGTATTTGAATTTCAAGAAGTTGTAAGGGGTTTCCTTACAATGGAATTTTGGAATTTACCATTTTATCATCATCTTTTCTGCTGAATGATTTTCTTTCCATGATAGGACTATATAAAGCGGCAAACACGTTTCGTTTCTCAAAAACCTGCTAACATTATTATGTCTACCATGGAAGCCGTAGCAGAAGCAATGGGTCTAAACGTCCACACACGTAATTTCAAGGTGCAACCATCATTCTTCCCTCATGATGAATGAATTGGTAACTTCATGACATTATATTTGGAATTACATATTAATTTTAATTGAAGTTTTCCCAGACAAGGTTGGAAAGAAGGACAGGACATAAGGTTGGACAGTTTGCAGCTGTACTGGAGGTAATTCCCCAGATATGATAATGATGATTGATAATCCCATTCCCAGGTTTTGTGAAGGTACTTCGAAACATTTTTCTTACTAAATTCACTTTGGTTTATAGATTTATGAAGTGGCCCCATCACTTTTTATGGTGGATGTTCGCAAGGCTGCTGGAGATACTCTAGAATATCACAAGGTAAGTTTCCACAATTATATATCACTAAAGAAAGACACAGGGAGACCTAAACTGCATTTTATTGTTTGTGTGGCTTTGCAGTTCTACAAAAAATTCTGTGGTAACCTAGAAAACATAATCTGGAAACCATCATAGAGTCTGGTGAACTGAAGCCTGTTTGGTTACTTTACTACTAACTAGTCTTATGGAGCAAATGAGCAAGCAGAGGTTTGCCCAAAATCTGTTCATCATGATGAGATGATTTTGTCAATGATGCAGCTGGTGATCATGAACAATTTTCTCAGGCTTTGCTTTGTCCACGATCATCTGAACTTCATATATGCTGCCATGATTTACAAAACTTGAAGGGGCCAAGCCACAAATGATATGACGCTGGAAGTGTGTAAAAAAGAAGAAGAGAGAAGTAATAATTGGGGGAAAAAAGGAATAAGACATCCGCGGGAAAGCTCGGATTGTACAGAATGTTGTTGAAAATAAATAAGCTTTTTGTCGTGAGCTGTTAAACGTACGGCAAATACGATGTGATTGTGTTAATTGAAGTGTTCAAACATTACAAAATGTTGTATGAAACCGAAATCTTTGTTCGTTCTATGAACAACGAATAATGGGGCATGTCAGAATTCAGACAACTTGGGGCAAAGACATTGACTTTATGATAGTGAACAATGTAAGATGTCGTGTGCGTTGACGACACAGTTGTTAAATTGGCACAATCATATGTAATTTGCTGTATTGTGATGGGAACATTTCGAATACATATTATTTTGCCTTTTCTTAACATTCTTCCCTCAAGGAGCTGTCAAGTTTTGGGTTGAATTTGGTTGATAGCTGTTGAGGAAAAAGGTTTCTAATTTCTATATACAAGGTACAAACGGAAGAGATTTGAGAGAATGGGCAGCAGAAACATTGTTTACTTGCTGCTGCTAAAACAGTGGCTGATTCATATCTTAAGAGTTAAGACAGACCCAAATTCTTGTTGTTAAAGAGATGAGCTTTAAATTGAAAGTTTTTCACTGCTGCAGTTTCTAAAAGTGGTCGGCCAAAAGTACAGCAGTTTGACTATGACCATTCAACCACAGGACTAACACGAAGTTTAAAAATTAACCCATATATGTAATCTCAGTTATTACAAATTTATGCCTCTTCAAATTCTATATACATTTTTGATTCATTCACTGTCTTCTCTTTGCGCAATCTGATTTTTCTTCACGAAGGACCAATCTGTTTTTTGAATCAACTTTTGCTTACCTTTTTGGGATTTGATGCTGATTTGATAAAAATGCAATAATTTTACTGAATATTTCAGCCGTCTAATTATTGTGATTGAAGTAGAGTGGTCTTCCCAATCCAAGTTATTAAGGCCTTATAACCTCAACTAAAAGATTAGAAAATCGAATCTCCACTCGAACATATTGTTCAACTAAAAAATGAAGTGAAGCGTGGTTCTATGGACAATGTTAGGGATCCCATGTTGAAAAGAAAATTGACTTTACGAAGATTTATCAATATTCATGAAGTTCCATTTCAAAATTAATTGGCGATGAAAGAAATAGCCTGCTTATATTATAAACTCTGGTTAGGTATCTTATTTAAGGTGAGACTCTTTAACATGCCCTTCAAAATGGTACTTCTATTGAGTTCACCAGTATTGATAGACACTTTACGAGACAATTCATCCGACCCATTTGCATTAAATACTTAGAGAGAAAGAAAGAGAGAGATTTATTGACATATTAATTTCATCACTAATCATTTCATCCCCTTAAAATGGAGCAAAGAAAAGAACCAAACTCTCTCTCTTTCAATCCTCAACCTTAAATCTGATGTTTGAGAGAGGACAGAGAGATTTGTTTGCCAATAATTAATATATGATACATGACATATACATATACATATACATAAATATATGCATATTAATCAGCAAATTGGGAAAAAGAAAGAAGCTTTGATTTCTTTTCAAGGCTGAAAGTACTTATCTTTACATTTGCATTTCCATGAGAGGAGATAATAGGAATCATCCCTGGGGAGTCTAGTGGCTTCCAAATTAGCATTAGGAATAGGAACAGCAGCACTATAATTAAGACCATCACCTGATTCCTTATGGCGCTGAGAGATGACCAAAGCAGCAACACATGGCCTGCAATTCAGGCACTTGTTGAAGCACTGTGGTGGCCTTGACCCAATTACCAATTCCTTCTCCTTTGAATAACCCACACCTGAGAGATTCCAAAACAAAAACAAAAACCAACTCCCAAAACTTAATCACTGCTCATAATTTAGAACCAACCAACATCAAAAAGATGGAATTTTTATATGTATGAGCTATACCCAATACCTGATGTGGGGTGAGGGAGAGAGAGGGAGAATAATATGAGAGCTGGGAGAATGAGAAACAGAGAATTTTTAAAAGCCATATTGGTGTGTATGGAGAGAGGAGGAGGGGAAAGTGGTGAAGTAAAGAAGTGAAGTTATGATTTTTAAGAGAGAAAAGAAAAAGGGTTAAGAGCTGTTGCTTTGCTTGCTGCTGAAATGTTGACAAAATAGCTAACAGTGAAATGGTTTTGCCTTTGTCTTCCTTCCACTCCCTAGTGCAGTGCAGTGCATCTCTCAGTTTTTGAGGGTCCCAACAGAATCAATCAACCCTCTGCCTTTTTTTTTCTTTGGAGAAATGGAGGGAGAGAGACAGAGAAATCAGACAGCAAAAGAAAAGAGAGAGCTTCCTCAGCTGACTTCAGTTTATGACTGATGTTACAGATCCCTCTCTCACTCCCTCATTAGCTAAATATATGCTTGTCTTTTGCTTTAAATTATTCTCCCATTTTAACATTTTATAATTAATTTATACCGTCTCCCGTCTCCATTGATTGATATTAAATGTGATTGATGATAAGTTTACTTGATATGATACATAAAAGAGTAAAAATCGAAATATTTGTCAACTCACTTAGTATCATGTCAAGAATCTAAGTTGAAAGTTTTAAACTACAGGAGCTAAATAAGAAACATAATTGAAGTCTTAAGTCTACATTCGACAGTCGTCGATTTTCCTTATTCTTTCCACACTCACACACACTTCACCGTCAAAAGCTCCCACATGTTTTGGGTTTGAATGTAATAATAAGTTGGAAGAGTGCTACATTATTGTTATACTTAGCTCAGTACTAGAAAACTGTTTATTTAAGAACATGAAAAATGATGTGTGTTATGTTAGAAAGGACCTGAAGAGAAGACTTATGGAAATGTAGTTATCAAGAGGTACAAAGAAACAGGGCTAGTGCCTACAAAAAGGACTGCTGCTTTTGTTTGCTTTCTATTTAATTTTCCATCTTCCCTTCATTTAATGCTCTACCTAAAAAAATGCAATTATTGCCCTCCTTTTCCCACAATCCTAATTTAATATATATAATTGGATTTGGATGGTTACAAAGATTTCATTTATCATATTTCTTTTATTGCATTGCCTGCATTGATGCTTTTAAGGAGAAAATCATTGATATCACAAGAATTTAAGCAATTACAATAGAAATCAGAGAGGTGAAATAAATAAGATGTTATGATTATTGAATGAATGGTACATACATATACTTCAATGATTTCTGTTATGTTTCAATTCATTTCATACCTTATAGGGGATAAAAGCTTCTATTTTTAGAAATATTTTTTAGATTATCTTTTCAAAATTCTAATTATTAGATACATCTGCCATATCATTCGAGTCGGTGGTGTGTCGATGTTGCGAGCATGGAGGATCAACGCGCAAATATTTCCATAGCGTCTCAACACTATGAATATGGATGACGACGTGCAAATATTTTCGTAGTGCCTCACCGCCCTTAGTAGCATCTCAACGCTGCGAAGTATATATACTTTTCGCCGGTTAGGGTATATCGTCTCAACGCTGTCACCTCAAGTTTTAGGATCCAATTTCTTCCATTTCTACTTCCTTCAGGGTGCGATGGTTCAAAATATCTACATTTCTCAATGTAATTTGCTTAACTTTTTTAGTTTCTCTAACTTGTTCGGTAAAAATATATAATTATGTGTGAAACTAATTAATCATGAAGTCAACAGTATTTGAACTATAAAAATAATTCACAAAACGTGTTATCACATCTAGTTAAGAAAAATTTTACTATTACAATATCATTCTTACCATTGTTTTAATCATTCAACTTCTGCATAATTTGTATTTATTTAATCATTTTGGTATTTCTACTTTCAAATATTTTATTCTAGCTTCTCCTAAAAAGTTCTTCCATAGTCATTGTACTAAAATTTCATAGCAAAACTTTTGAATGGACAAAACATGTGTTTTAAACCGCTTTATATCAAATATAATATCAAACATGAAGATAGATAGCTCAAGACCAAAAATAAGTATTTAAGAAAGTTGGGAAGCAAAACATAAGTTTGAATATTTAATCATTAGAGGATGATATACTACTGCAATATCTCCGAGGAATGACACAAGTGGTAAGGAGGCCTAGAATGATTTTTCAGATTTTACGTTTGAGCTTTATGTGTTGGTCACGGTATTGTTCAACCCATACATTGAGCCTTGTTGTAGGGATCCAGTCAATCAACGACATAAGCTACATGGTATCGATTTCGGGAAAAAGAAAAAAGGAGAAGATATTTGAATAGCAATGAAAGATTTTAGGATATAAAGGTGGGACTATTTAAAAAAAAAAAAGAAATTGGTGCTGAAAAGAAGAGAGGGTGGAATGGAGTTGATATGGCACACTGCAGAGTGCAGAGCTGAAAGATCTAATCTGGTAGAAGATGGTGCAACTGCAAACGCAACTCAGATTTTCAGGCCAACCACTTTACAAGCCCATGTTATCCTAATATCATTTTAGGGTACCCTACACTTGAAGGGCCCCTCTGTGTGTCCCTATTCTATTCCCATTTCTAGTCCTCTCTTGGCACTTGGCCCTTGCTCCTCTCTGCCTTCAGTGACCGACAGTAGTGACACCTCCAAAGCCATTTGTTAAGTTTTGGCTGCCTTTAAGCCTTTGCCAAATTGTACCAAAAATGTACCTGGGGGCTGGGACAGCCATTTCAGCAGATTCAATGCAGCCCCAAAACTGTAGATAGACACATTCACAGAGAAAGAGAGACAGCATTTATTACCAGACCTAATAAAGCTTCCAAGAACCGACCAAATTGAAGGGACAGCTTCTGTAATGGCATTCAATGAGATGTGTTCTTCCCAACACTACACTGTTGCAGGAACAAAATCTAACGTGGGAAACTTTCAATCTTATTCAAACCAAATCATCATCATCATCATCATGCTTCATGCCCCTCTCCTCTGGTGGTTTCGAGTTAATGAGAGACTTTGAGGAGAATCATACCAAATTTATTTCGGTTCTTGACAATTAAAAGTTGCAGACTACAAACCCACAAAAAAAAAACTATGTTTCCGACAAAAGAAAGAACAGTTTACAGAGTTGTAATGAAACCGCTAGTCCAAACCCAGAGTCCAGACAAGGGTTGAAGCCAAGAACAGAGCTTGACCTTTTTGGCTACATAATTGACTAGGAATCGGTTCATGTTCATCAGTACAAGCCAAGATGGAAAAACCAAGCTTTTGTGTAAAATATTGTTCCATAGACAACAACCAAGCTGTCAAGTGCCATTACTTTTATTTTGCATGAATTCAGATGAAATCCGTTTGGTCCTTTGTTTATACAAGGATGTCACATCTCCACAAGTTCTCTACAAGCATCTCAATTGAGCTGCTGCTGATTGAGTTGCAGTGTTTGAGATTCAAACCCACCAGTGTTTTTCCCAATCTCTCAAGAAAAGGCAAGCTTTTACTTGATATCCCACTGCAGCCTGACAATGAGAGGATTAGAAGATTGATCAGCTTGGCACGAGCGAGCGCAGCAAGCCCGACATCAGAAACTGCACAATTGGAAACATCTAGTTCATTGAGGACTAGTGAGTTGTCTGCTACTGTCATTAAGCTCTCATCAGTGATCTTCCTGCACCCATCAAGATTAAGCAGCTGAAGGGTTCCTCCATGGTGTTTAGCCAAGGCGAGAACCGATTTGTCGGTTAAATTCAAGCAGCCACTGAGATTCACCTTGACAAGCCCTTTACAGCTCTTCAACAGAGGAAGCAGCGCTGCATCTGTTAAACCATAGAGCCCCACGAGGTCAAGGTGCTGAAGATGAGGGAACTGCCTCCCAACCATGGCGAGGCTTGAAGCACCAAAACCTGTGCAATTGCGTATCGACAGCGATCGAAGAGATAGGACGGGAGAGACCAGGGGAAGTTGCAGAGCTGTATCCTTGATTCCTGAGCACTTAACAAGGACTAGAGATTTCAGGTTCGCTTCATGTTTTGTCAACGAACCAATAATACCCGAAACAGTGATTCTGTTGCACTCCTCCAATTGAAGGCCCTCGAGTGATCTTGCAGCCTTGGAAAAGGCTTCAAGTCCATAATCGGTTATGAAACTGCAGTTACGAAGGCACATCTGCTTCAAGCTTTTACATCCTTTTCCTATGGCTTCAAGGCTCACATCTGTCACTCCTTGACAAGAACTAATTGTCAATGACATCAATTGCTTCAGAGCTTGAGCATTTCCCATCACCCAAAATCCCTTCTCACTCACATTTTGGAGGCTGCTGAGGGTCAGATGGGTGATAAACATGCCATAACGTCCAATCACAGCAAGAGAACAGTCAGTAATGTTCAAGGCCTGAAGCTTCACTTTATTCAAAGAAGAAGAAACAGATGAGATTAAACTCGAAACCCCACGATCCGTGACAAGCAGGCAATCCTTTATAGAGATGGACTGCAGCTTAGGACATGATCTTCCAATAGCTTGCAGACCCTCATTCCCAATGTTTGGACAAGATTCAATACTCAAAACAGTCAAATTGGGACATCCTTCAGCTATTGCAATCAAACCCCTGTTGGAGATCAAAGGGCATTGACAAAGATCAAGCTTCTCTAAAAAATGGCATTCTTCACCTATTTCCGACAGGCCCTCGTTGCCGATCAAAGCAACATTCCAGAGAGAGAGAGCTCGGAGCAAGGGGCAACCACGGGCTATCGATATAAGACCAACATTAGTAACTCTACAGCAAGAGTTCATCCCTCTAATAGAGAGCTTCCCTAATCCCCCATGGCTACTAGTTCCTACAGCAATAGCAGCCAGTCTTGTATCCGTTGCTTTCTTTCCCTCCAAAGTTCTGGTAAGATATCCATTATTTTCAAGTTCTTGGTCGTCACAACCACCGCTAATTTCAATGTTATCAGAAACAGGACACTGATGTTGATTCTTTAAGGACCCAAATGAGTTGTTACAAGTTTCAGCCCCACGGATGTTGCTTAGAAGCATAAGCCACCGCCTAGAGACGCACCCACAAGAGCTCTTTGCTTTCCCACTTTGGAGGCGTCTAAAGATTTCAAAGAGGCATTCATCAGGAAGATCATCAATACAAAGTCTTTCAGCCCCTTGCTCATAACCCCTTCTCTCAAATGCAACTCGAAAACTGGTGCGAACCCTTTTTGTCGGCTGAAAATGCACATCCACACGAGAAGAAAATGGCAGAATACAGCTCAAATTCACCATAGAACTCGGGTAAAATGAACTCCCAGAGTAAAATTCATCATCCCCTGATCAATCCAATAGCGAAATTCAGTATAATTTGGAAACTAAAAACTCTTTTAAAAGTAAACCCAGAAACTCACCACTGTAATTAATGAGAGTAGGCATGAGGAAAAGCAGAGTAACCCACAAAATTTGAAATCCAAAGGATGCCTCAGAACCGATCAAAATGTGAAGAAGGGCCAAAAACAAGAACTTCAAATGGGGGTTATAAATGAAACGGGTCGAGGACAAAGTTTGAGAAGAATGTGATGGAAATAAAGAAAGTTGAACGTCGTCGTCATGCAGTGTATGGTTTCATGAGAGGGCAATTTCCACTCTTTTCATAAAAGGAAGTGGGGGAAGAAGAAAACGAGAAACCAACTTAAGAGGGTCAAAATCATATTCTTTGTCTCTACTCCAGCGCATCATACCGAGAGAATTTTCTCCTGTTGTTTTCGTTTTGATTTTTTTTTTTTTTTTTTTTTTTCAGTTGAATTGTACCTATTGGAAAGTAAATCATGAGTTGGGTCCCTTTTTCTAAACAAAAGTTGGAATCTTGCCTGAACCATTCGTACCTTTGGATGAATTCCGTTCATCATTTGATTGATTACTTGGGTGTCCTTCTTTTGGAGGGGCATGTTCATAAATGTCTTTTATTGAAAAACATATTTAACCAAACATTCAAATTTCAGGGCTTCCTATAAAAGATAACACTACTTTTATAATTCTAGAGTTAGAAAACCAGGAGTTCTGCCCCCTGTTTATCCAATTAATTATTTTTTATAAAAAAAAAATAGAGAGAGAGAGAGAGAGAGAGAGAGAGAGAGGGAATGATAAGTTTTTGAGTAGCATTGATCATGATGGGTAAAAAACGAATTGAGTTTGACATTAAGAGAGAAAATAATTGAATAAAATGGGGAAAGAGAGGGTATATTTGTATTTGAATTACAAGAATCTGGTCACTTTATATGGATATGATGACCACATTGCTTCCCTTAAAGTTAAACCAACGAAAAAAACTAAATTTGGTTGTATATTACAAAAACGAAAAAAAAAAAAATACTTTATCACTATCATTATGTTTTTACAACTAGAAGAGGAATGCATATAAAAAAAAGATACAGAAATTTTTTTTTCTAAAAAATAAATAGATATGAAACTTTTAAAATATAATTTAGAAAATCTTTTAAGGTTGATTGCTATTGGTACAAACTTTTTTTTTAGTACGGAGCAGGGTTCGAATTCACTAACTTTTGATCGAAGATAGGTTATTTAATATTCTACCATATTGTCACTATTAATGTTTTGTCATATTGTCACTTAACTTATATTTTTATTTGTCAATCTGAACATACCTCAATTGGTTAAGACATTTATGTTCAACTAAAATGTCTGAGTTCAAATTTCTATTCTAAAAAATAAAATAAAAATTTTTTATTTAGTAAATTTTTTTAATTATTTTTATTGAACATATGGTGAGTCGGGGGACCAAGGTGTTCTAAATATTAATATCTAAATTTTATGGAAATGTCGATGGAAACATCAATAAAATAAATATTTGAAAAAACAAATAAGAATTCTACTCTTTTAAAATAAGTTAATTTTTTAATTATATTTTGTTGATATTTTGTCAATTTTGTTAATTTATCAAATTTTTTATAATAATATGAAAATGTCAATTTACCTCTCATGTCGATATTGAATCCTTGGACATAGAAATGTCGATAGTGACAATAGTATAATGGATTATTTTCCCTATATTGTAAGATGGGAATTTCCCAATAAATAGATATAAAATCTGAAAATAGTAGTCGTATCTGCATGGAGATGTTTATTTTTCTTGCTAAGTTTTACATAAACTAGTGAGTAGTGCAATGAATTTGAGCTTATGACATCATAATATACATTATTTTATAATTGAGTAGGACCCTTTGCCAGTTTCCCACAAGGGCTTCTTTCTAAAATATGGCCTAAAAAAATACACCAATATAATATATATTAATATGAACAACATACACTCTTGGAAAAGCTATGGTTTGAAATATCAATGGATTTTCCTTCAACCACTTGATCAGTCGAGACTTGAATTAAAATAACATGATATTAATTTATATTGTTTAAAAAATTAAAATCTCCAGCTAGCTTCTTCCCCTTGTTTCTGAATAAGAAACCATGGCCTTGGGCCTTATGCTTCTTTACAACTAATCTTTTAATTTACTCTTCTCCCAATGCCACTGAACCAACCCCAGAATGAGATTAAGATGACAAATTGTGGTTGAAAAGAATTTGCAGTGCTATTGTAATATGGACGTATTTAACAGTATTAAAAAAATAATAAATCTTTACGAAAAAAATTCATAATTCGAACGAGAATATTAAAATCAAAGATTTCTAATTTACGCACTAGAGTAATTTTGATGTTGCCTTGGAGGTTCCAAATATCAAAAGAGTGATTTCAATCCTTTAAAAATTTTGTTTCTTGGGAATCTAAGATTTTCATGAGATGGACATCTAGATCCCGACATTTGTTTGATAGGAATATCGGATATTCGAACATTCTTAGATGTTCGGACATCCTAGGATGCTTAAACAGGAGGCATCTGAGCAATTTTAGATTAACATGAGTTTTTAAGATTTTCGTGTCTTTTGACAATTTTGTTTTTCTATCATTTTTGTTCTATAATATTTTTTCATTACTAATATATATTTCTCATTTATTTTAAACAACGCACTAATTCATTGATAAATTTCTAAATACAATTTTATTTATATGACGTAAAATAAACATTAGTTATTTTTAATTCAAATATGCTTTCATTTATTTTACTTTTCCAATAATCACCAAACATAAATTAAAATTGACATAAAAAATATAATATTAAATTAATAAAAGTAAAATTTTTTATATGAATTCAAATAATATTAAATTTAACGTATAAATAATATGATGATTGATAATGGTATTTTTTAGAACATTACATAAATTTACAACATTCCCACGAATAAATGGTGCAAAAGAAACATGTCAATCAAAATATTCCCAAATATTTTTATAAATTTTCCTTCTCAAATTTCAGACCTCTAAAATTTGGACATATGAGATTCCAGACATTTAAAATGCAGCACATCTACATTACACAAACGCCACTCAATAATCCTCAAATCAATAGTTGATTTTTTTTTTCTTTTTAATTAGTGTTTTAGGTCCAGTTGAATTAGAAACTTCAATTTTTCCCATGTCTGCCAATTCTGGAATATACATGTTTCTAATGATTGGAATACATGCATTTATGCTGTAAAAGATAAATATGCTAATAATTATAATAATTTATTCATGCATCCCAAATTGGAGCCATCATATATATATATATATATATATATATATATATATATATATATTTTTTTATTAGCTAGTGCTATAATAATTAACCAAAGTTGAGTCAGTTGCCACCTTAATTATTACCCTCTCTTTACTTCACAACTTGGAACCAATCATTGTTAGTTTAATAATCTAACATTAATTAAAATATATGTTCAACCCTCTGGCCTCTACGCAAGTGACTTTAATTAACTATATTATTATTTTTATTATTTACTCAATTAGAGATGATGAGATTTTTGAGTGCTTGATTTGGAGCTCTCTCGTGTGTTAACTTTTTCTTTCATATACAACCTACTATACTTTGTATATATAACTAAAATCTTAGTCCCATTATTTTATAATTAACATTCTACTCTTTTTTTCATGTAATTTTAGTCTCACCGTTCATTTTGGTTCCTATATTTTTATTTTTATTTATTTTTCATTTTAGTTATTGTATTTTCAAAATGTTTGTTTTAGCTTTCCATTTGTTATATTTGGCAGATTAGAAGGTTGATTTTAGGAAAACATAAAATCACATGAAATTGACTTTCAACGTATCACTTGGGTGGTGATTTTGGAAAATCAATTATTCTTAGATCTCTTTTTCTCAAAATCACTTGTCTACCATCTTTAGTCCTTGAACTTTTGAGAAGTGATTACCAATTTTGTTTTTATAGATGCAAAATTTTAACATAAATTATATGCATAATAATAGAAACATTTTAATACAAATTTATGGTTATATTTCCAGAGATTTAGTGAGTGAAGTGTTGTGTTAAAATTGTAATCAAAATAAATTAGATAAAATGAAAAAGAATGAGACAAAAATGGTCACTTTTAAAAATGGAAAATACTTCGTTATCCTCCTCATCATTAAATATTTGACAATTCATTATTATTTTAAAAAGTCTCTATTTTTGCATTTTTCTCTTAGTTGTCAAACATTTAATCGCGAGGAACACAAGATTCCTTCTCATTGTTGAGGAGCAAGTATTTTCCTTAAGTACAATGACTAAAATAAACGAAAATTTAAAGTATATAAATCAAAACGAACCAAAGCAAAAAATACAGAGACCAAAATACTATTTTAAACCTAATAATAAATATGTCAAAAACTAGGTAGGTGATTATTATGATTATGAATGAATATCTTAGCCAATTACTAATTATCAAGTCTTAATCTATATATTTTTCATTTACAATCTTTTTACAATTTAACTTTATATAATAAAAAATTACCTGCTGGAATTTCCTTAAGTTTTCCTGTGATTATTTCGTGAACTAGCTTATAATAATTGAGGATAAATTTCAAATCATTTTGAAATATCCTTTCCAATTAATAAAAAAGGTATGGTAAATTAAAAAAAAAAAGGTAATTATGTCAAATTTTTGCTTTATCATAAAACTGATTTTTTTTTCTCATTATCATTTATATTCTTCGAAAGTCTCATGATTTCTTGAAATATGGATAAATTTTGTTAATAATGTGATTTTTTTTAAACCTTGGATTGTCTTTAATAAACTATTAAAAGACATTTGTTACAATATAAGATCTTACAAATACTGTTGGATTCGTAAGGTGATTGCAAACAAAGTCCACATCGATTAAAAAATAGAATGATCATGGGTATATAAGAGAGGACAATTATCTTCATTGGAATGAAGCGTTTTGGGTGAAACCAAAACAAAGCCGTGAGAACTATGCCCAAATCATACAGAGATAAGTAATGAGGGAAAAAAAAAAAAGTGAATTGTGATATCACATCTTTCAAACATTGAGTGAGAGTCCAATATAATTGATGGTGAAATAATAATTGTTTCTTCCATTTGTGGAGGAAAAAAAATGTAATACATATGATTGCAAAATAATAATGTGTGAGAATGAAATGTTCATGGACATGAACATGAACATGATGAGCAACATCATTGGATGATGGATATTTATTTATTATTATTATTTTTTAATATTTTAATAATTAAAACAGACAGAGGAGAAAAAGAAAGAAGCCCATAATGTCTGAAGAAGAGACTGGAAAATGTTGTTATTTATTGGTCACTGCAGGTTGGCTGAACCAAAACACTATCAATAAATGAATAGGTTCATTGTAATTGCAACCTTTTACATCATCCAAATTCCATTTTAATCCCTTTTTCCTAAATTCCAACTTCATTTATATATATTTTAAATTAGATGTGGTCTGTCAAGTTGCTAACTCCTTTTAAACGATTTATTTTCAAATTTTGTTTATTTGAGTCTCTATACTTCTATTTTTGTCCCTATTTATAAAATTTTATATCTAATAGAAACCATTTAATATCAGAGATCAAGGTGAAAATGAAAAGATTAAAAATGCTCGATTTTTTATAATGTAGATGCTATTTCAAACTCTTGTACCAACTATCAGTAGAAATCATAAGGTTGAATTTACCCCCTTCTCTTGATTTTATCCATTTTGAAGATGATTTACATGGCAACTCATTGATACATTGAATCAATCAAAGAGTTTTAAATTTCCACGAAAAAAAAGAGGTTCTTTTATCCAACCAATTAAAGCCATTTTCAGAGTGGATTGGTTTCTCCTCCTTTTTTTTGTCCTTTACTCCCCCTCTTTCCCTTGGGTCACGTTACACATCTACCTAATATACAACCAATGACAAACCATACAAAAAATATTATAAAACCCATCATAGTCATCAAAATATAGATATAAATTCGTCAAAATGAGAATAATTCGACAGTAATTGACATATATCTCCAACCAAGTTCGATTCCCACCTCACTTGTTGTACTATATATAATGTATAGATATCAATACAACTCAAATGTTCTCAGTTGATACAGGACGATGCTTCCTTTTTGTTTAGAGGGTGATGCAGATTTTGAAGTTCTTATTCATAAAATGAATAAAAGAAAGGAGAATACTTTGAAAATGGTGAATATTTATACCATTTCTGCTCTGTCTCAGTCCCAAACCCAAATGTGCATGATGGTGTTTATACATTTGTACAGCTGAAAAATGTAGGATGAGTCATAAAGGTAAGAGAAAAGAAGCTTCCTAAAGATTCAAGAAATGCATCCAAAATTCTTTTTTTTTTTAAAAAAGAGGCATTTTCAATCATAGAGGCCCTCCTGCTCCCATACTTCCACAAGAAAGTTCACCATTTCCTGTCAAATTGAAGATTTTTTAAGTTCTTATTCATGGAATGAACAGTGGAAAAAGAAATGACAAAACTTCAACAGCAAACTTACGGATAAAGGAATTGGATGGGGAAAAGGCTGTCTTGTACCCAGTAAACTATCATATGTTGCACGCCAACTGCAAACGCGTATATACCGATGATATAGAGATCAACTTAATCTACAATGAGGTCTTTAATGCTCGATTTTTGTATGAGCGCTAAGCGAAAGCAATTGAAAATGGATGAACCTAGTGAACTGACCTGATTTTTGCCTTCCGTCTTTGTTGAGTTTGATCCGTTGTCTTGCTACTACTTCCAGTCCACTGCAGCCTATTCTGATTCCAGAGAAGGAGACCTGAAAGCAATGAAGACATAACAGACTATAAGTTCCAATAAACGATATCAGCACAACTTCATAAAGTCATCTGATTTTTTATCAATTATTCAACAAAGGTCGGATAAATAAGAGCGAAACTTTCCATGGTTTACAAATTCAGAAGGGTTGCTCGTACTGCCACCAACATTGCTCGGATTGAGTGTGAGATTTGATGTACTGATAGACGAGATGCTTCGTTGAGATTGAATGGTGCTATTATCCAAATCACACGTGCTTGTGCTCCAGAAACCGTCAGATATGCTAGGTTTCTTAACGATTCGTCCTTGAATTCTTAATCCCTTAGATGGCTCATCCACAGCAATAATAGGTGTGGGCTTAGTGCAGCATCCAAAACAACCCCTGCACTGTTATAAACCTAATAAAGCAGTATATGCTATAAAATTACAGCAAAAACATAGCATGTGCACCAATTACCAATCATCAATAATGTCAAGGTAGTGATCAAATAAATCTTGTTTGTGGTTTGTCATCGACTGTGAAAATAGGGAGACACACACAACTATTAACTACAGAAATTAGAAAATGCATTTGTATAATGTTTAGAGAGACGTTTGTTTTATACTAAATGTATCTGATAACAACACAATGGTAGAACTTAAACAGAATACTTCACCAAGTTATTTTAAAACTGGGGTAAACTGATTTTATAACATAACACAGATAGGTGACAACATTGATGATGCATTTACTAATGAGCTTATAAACATAACACCATCTGAACAGTGAGAAGAATGCAAGACGAGCCAAGAGAAAACTGGGAATGATCGTGCAGCAATTAACCTTTTCGATGACCATTCAGAATCAAAATTCAGCCTCTACTTTACTTAGAATAGGGAATGGTTTTGAACTTCCGAATATAAGTTCGGAACTTTAATAAAGTTAGTTCCCTTGACAGTTCTTTCAAGAATCCACATTAAACATCAATTGTTTTTAGTAAATCAGCTCCAGAAAACTGCAATATTTTGTAAAGACTAGAGTCTACAACAGACACATATTAGTATTAGGCGGCTACTACCCTCTTGACCAGCTAAAACAGTAACCTACAATCCATGGATTCTCTCAGCACAAGGATGATTCAATATGAAAGCAAAAGAAAATATGTCTAAAAGTAAAAATTAGCCATCTTAGAACTGTATCCTTTCCATAATTGGATCGTAATGGCTTCGTTAGTGTTCGACCTTTTTACATAGGCGATAAAGTCGTTGGGGCAACTTCATATAAGGATAGACTTAGCTTTTCATCTCTTCATATTTCTTGGTACCAGAGTTCGGCACAAATTGGATACCATAATTCTTTCATTGTAATCGAAGAGTTACGCAACTAAATACCAGCAATCCAAAAGGAGCAAGAAATCTGATACTTGACCCAAACCCCTTTTTCGTTTCAACTCAACATTGCAGTTGGAATAGTAAAATCCATAGCAAAAAGAAGGAAAAAGGGCATTATCTACTGCTCAGTAAGTCAGAAAACAGAAGTAGCACCCAAAAGGGAGTATAAGAGGACTCCATTAGAAGCAAAGATAACAAGTCCTTTCGAAGACGGCATTGAATGATTGGCGAGGAAGATCGAGAACTTACCCCATGCAAGCGAACAAGCGGCTGATCCACGCAGCGAAGGAACTATTCAGCATCACCATGTTGATGTTAAGCCAAAAGCGGAAAGCAGGGCATCGATTCTGGGAGAATAAATGAAAACCCAAAACCCTGTAATTGGAATTGGAAAGAGATAAGAGTGGACTTTGATTTGGGAGTTTTTGATGAGGGAAGAAAGGAAAGTTTAGTGGCAGAGAGAACCAAATACCAAAAGGAAAAGAAAGAATTGGTGGGTTTCCTAGAAATTCAGAAAACAAAGAGATGGGCATGAGCATCGATTGATTCCTGGTTAGCTATTTGGATAGTTCGTTCTATTGGTGGATTTTTTGTTGTGGGTTTGTAAATATACTCCCTTTTTTCTGTGGCTCTGGCCCCCACTACCCACTGCTTGCCATTATTAGCAGCAAGAATGGTCATTTATCCTAATCTACTGCTTGAACTTTCAGTTCCAGTTATAACGATAATCGGGTTTCTATCCTACGTTTTCATGGATGACTTTTCCTTTTCAGTTCTCCAAAAGTTCATTTGATATCTTCGTTACTTCATTTTTACTTTTTATTTCTTAATTTATCTGAAAACAACCCATACAGCCTAACTACGTTTTGATTCTAACTTTCGATCTTACTGTGTCTTTAGTTTCTTTTTATACCTTTAAACTTTGTATATAATCCATAAAAAAAATTTCTTTAATCTCCAACGTAAATGGTGGCTAGCAGATAACAGTCTCTCTGGTCTGGAGAGTTACAGTTCTGCCACCATTCTTTCAGAAGCTGAAAATAATGATTCTATGAGAAGTAATACGATAATTCTCTTCCTCCCATTTCTAAATATCAAAACCAACTCAAACAGAACCAAACTGGGAAGAGCGGTGCTTATTTTTTTCAGAGGGTTCAGATTGAAAGTACTGATATTGCAAAATAGGGTCGAAGAATCAATAAGTACTAATCAACGTAGCAGCATTGTCATGGCAAAAGAAATAGAGACGGTTGTGATCAGCCAACTTCAGATGTTCTTTTGTTTACAAAGCTAATTGTGTTTCTTCAACAGGATTGAAGCCAGACCCATTCTCCAACCAAACATTGTAGTTGGCTCGTGCTTTTGGGGGATGAGAGAAGCCAGCCCTGTTCGCGGGCTATAACTGGGAAGAATCTCTTGCTTCACCTCACTTCTTGAGAACCTGAAAAACGGGTCAAGTTAAATCATCTAGCTACAAGAATCATGTGGTTAATCCCAAGTAAAGCCTGCATACCATCATATCATACATGGATATTAATCATGAAAATGGAAAAACAGCATCCAACAATCCCCAAAATAAATCTCTAGCTCCTTCATAGAGAATGGAAGAAGACTTCCCAGTGAAAAGTGTAAGGAACTCATTGAGGATGGAAGAAGACTTCTCAGTGAAAAGTATATGGAACCAAGAAGCTCGGAGTTTTCATTCTTTCCAGGAATTTGACCCTTCCTTTTTCAGCATATTCTTCTTTAAACAAAAACAAAGAAAAGACACATACTTTTCTCGATACTGAAGGAATTGCAGAAATTCTACAATTTTACATGTATGAGTTCAGAACTCTGTTTAACATCAACTCAAACCACATTTATACAACTACCCCTCAAGTAACAAATTCCAATCCTTACCTTCAGTTATGCAACAATTCTCTTTAGTGGCAAAAAGCATAACTCTTTCAGAGTTTTCCACCGATTTATTCACGTTTTGACGACTTCAAAAGTCTTAACAGATTACTTAAATGGATAAAATGTGCATTCAAAGACTAATGACTGACAACGCCCAGATCAAAAGGAACAGAAAGTACTTACAAGGGAGGAGAAGGGCCTTCACTTGCAAATGTTGATAGGCCTTGGCGTTGCTTGTGTTTGGGATTGGATGAGCAGTATACATATACTCGACCCCGGCGCTTTACTGTCCTACAGAATTCACACATCTTTTTCACTGAAGAACGGACTTTCATGGCTGGAGAAAGAAAAAAAACAAACAAAGAAATGAAGCAGCACTCAAATGTATGTGATGTCCAATTATCATATCTCAATACTGTCAATTCCAACGATGCAACAAAGGAAAAGAGGAAGGCTACACAGAAAACGCTAGTATAGAATGGTCAAATCAAGGATCTACAAGGCAAAATTCTATCCTCCCGTACTTGAACTGAAATCCGAGAAAATAAATGGGATGAATAAACACAAGTTATGAGAAATAACTTTTTTGGCCTTATTAAGTCGCTAATTAACTTCTCGAGGGACATAAGAGTTTAAGCAGAAAACCAATGAGCTCCTGCTCCAATCCCATATCAACTTTAACTCCGTGTCAAGGTAAGAACACTAAACTTCTACTTCATCAACCCAAGAACGAATTCTCCCTCAATCATTCAAAATAAAAAACTTGTAGAAGATCAATCAAAGAAAGAAAAAAAAAAACTCGAAAATAGCTATACAACAATGCTTAAATTTGAAATCCCCAAGTACAAATTAGATGTTTGGCGCAAGGTTGTTACTGATACCGATAAATGTTAAAACCCAAATCGATATAAAACCCTAAAACCCAAAAATCTACCGGCAGCAAATTTTAACAAGGAGAAGGAAAATAGTGGTCGAGGAACTGTTGAGGCAAATCTTGATCGAAAAGATGAATGATTTCTTGGCTTAATACCTTCGATTCGGTAGCGACGGCTTCCAGCTGAGTGGTAATGAACGTGAAAACCGAGTACCCGGCTTTATTCTTTCATACCTCCACCATTTTAATTTTCCTCCTTTTTCTTTTTCACTTCTCATTAAAACGAAAAATTAAAAAGATTTACGGAAAGAAAAATAAAATGAAGATTCCTTTTTTTTCTTCTAAATATTTGTATATAGATAATTTATTGTACGTGTCCCTATTAATCACCTTATTTTGAAAAATGACCAAATAATTTTTGTTAATAAAAATGTCTTATCTTTTTCAACTACTTCACAGGTTTAATTTTGACTATTTTATATTACTCTCTCTCCAATTGAAAAAGTTTTTATTTGTTCAAGTTCAAGGTATTATGGGCCTGCAAGAAAGGCCCACTACCTAGATGATTCCGTTCGCTTAGTCCAGCCCAATACGGCCCATATCCAATCATCGAAACACACCAAGAACAACGAGGTGCATAAATAGGGCTGTGTTTGTTTCTTTAACATTCTTATATTATGTTTTTTTGTTTCTGGAATTGTCTATAATATTCCCATCAATGAAAAATATTTACTGTTATGGAGAACAAAAACGACCTGAAACGGGACAAGGAGTTGAAGTCTGAGATCATTGATCGGGGGAGACCGGCCCGTGACGTAACGGGCCGGCCCAGAGAACGACCTAATGCCGGGGCAAAGAGCGAGGAAAGCGGCTGGCGGAGAACTAACCGGGCCGAGAGGGCTCGGTCCCGACCCGGGGCTCGGCCCAGCCAACGATCCCCCATCTTCGATCGACGATTCCACCCAGGCCCCGCAACGGTGAATTAGGGTTAGCTATGGAAAGTTTTGGAACAACTCCACGCTATAAGTAGCGATCCAACCTTACAGGTAAGGGGGAAGAAGTGACTACATTTACCTTGTTCTCTTACTAACTTAAGCATCGGAGCCCGTGTGACTAGAGTCACACCGGTTTAGCTCGATTTGGTTTTGC